TGTTTTGGGGCACCTATTATCTAACTTCACCCTATCCTATCTCCCCCTCCCTTTCCTCACCTCTAGTGACCACCGTTCTACCTTCTTCTATGACATCAACTTTTTCAGCTCCCATAAATGAACAAGTGCATGTGGTTTTGTAAGCCTGACCTACTTTACTTAACATGATGTCCTCCAGTTCCATCCATGTGGTCAAAACGGCAGCATTTCTTTATTTTACAGCTGAATAATAAACAGTCCATTGCGTATATGTCACATTTTCTTTGTCTGTTCTTCTGTCAGTGGTCACTTTGGTTGACTCCATATCTTGGCTATTATGAATAGTGCTGCATGTAATGTATACTGCAAATACATCTTTGATATAATGATTCAACTCCTTTGGATGCATATCTGGTAGCAGGATCATGTCATAATATGGTAATTCTACTTTCAGTTTTCTAAGGAATGCCACACTGACGTCCATGATGGTTCCACTTATTTACATCCCCACCAACAGTGAATAAGAGTTTTCCTTTCTCAACATCCTTGACAGCACTTATTTTTCACTTTTTATCACAGCCATTTTAATTTGGGTGAGAAATCTCATGTTTTTGATTTGCATCTCTCTAAAGATTAGTGAGGTTAGACATTTTTTCACATACTTATTACCCGTTTTATGTCTTCTTTTGAGAAATATCTATCCAGAAGAAAATGATCATCTTTCTAGAAAGGCATAGTAAAGTATGTACAAGTGATATGACATGAGAATTCACATTAGCCTTAAATTACTACCCCAAAGAAGAAAACAAGAAGGTGAATTAATGAACGAAGTAAATGTGACAAGCCCGTGATGACTGCTGGAGCTGAGTCACAAATATGGGGATTCATCGTTCTATCTTCTTTACTCTTGAGTATGTTTGAAATTTTTCATTTAAACAGTTTTTTCCAGCTAGGGGCTGGTGGCTCATACCTTTAATCCCAGCTACTTGGGAGCTAAGATCAGGAGGATCGCTATTCAAGGCCAGCCAGGGCGAAAAGTTCATGAGGCCTCATCTCAAAATTAACCAGAGAGAAAATGGATGGGAGGTGTGGCTCAAGCAGTGCCTGCTTTGCAAGTGCAAAGCCCTGAATTCAAAACCCTAGTCTTACCAAAAAAAAAAAAAAAAAAAAAAAATCCAATAAATTACTCTTCCTTTTGAAAGACATAAATATTTGCCTCTGTGGCAAATATTTCTTGAGTTTTTGCATTATTTGTTTGTTTGTTTGTTAGTGCTGGGCCTTAGGCAAATTAAGCACTCTACCACTGAGCTACGCACCCAGCCTGAAATAAGTATTTTAAAAGTAACTGAATGCTAGGTAAAAAAGATGGTATGCCATAGAAAGATCTGAGCTTTACAGTCAGGAACATTGTTACTAGCCAGTACTCTGTTGCTTGCACTCTGATCTTGGGCAACTTTCTGTCCCTCTCTGAGCATTCCTTTAGTAGAGACAGTAACATCCTTTTTGCTTTTTAAATTTCTCAAGTCCCTTATTAGCACAAAGACCAGCATCTACCACCAGACTCCATCCCACCTCCCCCACCGACTAAGAATCTGGGTTTTCTTAGCCCAGGTGAAGCAGGCATGGCTCTTGAATCAGAGCAGGCATGGCTCTTGAATCAGAGATGTGCACACTTCTCATGGCCTCTTGGTGTCGGGATTGAGCTTCCTTCTGTCCAGCCATATTGTCACTGGATGTCCTTGCTAATTCTCACAGCTGCCTTGAGTGAGGGCAAGGGAGGGTGGTTTGCATAAAATTCCTCTTAGCTTGCACTTACTTTATCTTCAGTGGCTTGTAAGTTACAGAACATGACCATTCTCAGCTACACAGTGTACCAGAAAAAGCCTTTCTCTTCCACTGAACGTGCTACCATATAGCAGGCACTGTTTTAGCTAGATCTGTGAACAGCAACAAGACCCATAACCACCTCAACAAGCTGGGGCAGGGGTTATCTGCCACACATCTCCAGGTCACCAGGAAAGACTTCCCCTCTCTCCTGGTGAGTTTTGCTTTGATGGGAGAGAGGTGGAGGTACTCTCTCAATCACACAGGTTTGTTTGTTTGTTTGTTTGTTTGTTTTAACTCAGTTCATCTGTTTATTGACATTTTGGTACTTCCCACCTTTGACTAATGTGAATAATGCTATAATGAGTATTAGTATAAAGTATTGATCTGAATCCCTGTTTTCAATTCCTTTGAGTATGTATTTGAGAGTAGAATTGCTGGATAGTTTGGCAATTGCTGTGGTTAGTTGCATATTGTTTTCCATAGAGGCTGCACCATTTTATTTCCTATCAACAGTGTCAATTTCTCCACTTGCCTGCACTTCCTTTTTTCTTTTTTTAAAGTAGAATATATTCATTGTACAGGGGGAATTCATTGTGACAATTCTGAGTAGTCTTACATTATACATTAGTTACATTGCCCCCACCATCTCCCCCCAACCCTGCAAACCTCTCCCCTCTTCAGTAAAAGCAATTGCAAGAGGTTTCATCATTCTATTTTGTTTATGTATGTGAAGCCAATCAACCATATTCCCTCACCTTCATCTCCTCTGTTAACCCTCCTCCCCCTCAAAGCCCCCCACACACTCACTGTACCTATTTTACAATCCTGTCAATCACACAGTTTGAACCTAACCTTTTCCCCACACATCATTAGTGTATGTGCCAGATTGGTGGGGAGAAGGTTTACTTAAGCTACACACACACACCCCACACGTACACACACACAAACACACAGGTGTACACACACACACCTTATGTAGTAAAGCCAAGCTAAGTTTACTAAGCTGAGTTCCACAAAAGTGATCCACAGAAACCAGGTCATTTCTTCAGATTAAAAAAACTTTTTATTAGACTCTTGGGTTAAAACTAAGACTCTTACCCATCTTGCAGGATTGTTATGAGGATTAACTCAGATATCTTCACTATGTTTTGCTCACTGCTGTGCCAACTTTTTTTCACTATATTCTGTTATATCTCCAGTTCCTAAAATAGTAGCATGGACACAACCACACTCACATTCACACAGGGGTTGAGTGCACCCTCAGTGTCATCATAATGAAAGAAAGATCTGAAGATTCCCACCAGGCATTCGGGGGCTGGGCCTGAGCCCTGCGTGTTCACAGGCTCTTGAGACATGCACCTGTTCAGGAGTTCACTGTAAGCTGCAAAGCCCACGTCCTGCTTAAAGCAAAGCTCTGACCCGTAGCTTCAGTGTACTTGTGGGAAAGCCGCAGGCAGGTGTGGAATGTTGATGTGCTTACTATACTTCATAGGATCCAGGATGCCATCAGTCACAGAACACCACCTGATCTGTGCTTTTAAACTATAACAAAACAAAAACAAAAAGCTTACATCGCAGAATCGATGAAATCAAGTGTTTTGAACAGCAGTAGAGTCTAATGGTTGAGCACTTTGTGTCTGGAGTCTGATAGACTCAGCTCCACCATTCATTACCTTTGTGGTCTTGGGTAGATTACTTAACCTCTATAAAATTGAACTTCCTCACTTCTGAGATGGCCATAACCATGAGGCTGGTTGGTAAATAGTATTGAACATGTCAGCATGATATTTTAGCTCTCTGTCCAGTAAAATAAAATCCCCAAACTGACCATTTTTGTATTTTCTTCCTATTCTATATCTCTCTGAAGTAAAATAACTAGATGTAAGAATATAAACCAGTTATAAATGTTCTAACATTCACATTTTGCCCTGTATAGATCTGAATTTTTTACTATTTCATGAGAATATATGCATGCACTAGTTACATTAAAATAAATTTCTTAAATTATAGTTTCAAAAGAAAGTTCAAATCATTGTTGAAGCATGCATCAGTTTTGGGCAGGACATCCATTAAACCTAAATAAAAACAGGGCCCTCCTTCTGGTATAAGTGAATGTAAAGTGTTGAGTGTGCCACTGGACACAGGGTCCAGCCCAGGAAGACTCAGTGTCCATTACATGTACCTCAGTTGGCCTCTGGACAGCAGCCTCTCCTTTCTCTTGTGTGCTGCTGTTTCCAGCGTCTAGATCTGTGAACATGGACATGGTAAGGACTCAATAAACTCTTGGTGTATATACAAATTACTTACTCTTTTAACTTCAGACTGCCTCCTGCAGGTAGTCGGGGAGGAACCAGGGTTCATGGAAGCTTTAGCTGGCAGTAGTAGCTGGCCTCTTGTGCAAAGGGAACTAGCTGAGACTAGTAGCTAGTAGCACCAAAGGGTAGACACCTTATGTTGCTAATCCAAACCCTACGCAAGTAGTAGTCAAGAAAAGTCCCAGAGCAAGGTGTTATAGGACACTTTCAGGTCTTTTAAAAAGCATTTCGTTGGGCTGGGGGCTTGGTTCAAGTGGTAGACACCTGCCTAGCAAGTCTGAGATCCTGAGTTCAAACTATTGTACTATCAAAAAAAAAAGTATTTTGTTGATGAGACTGACTGGGATGCCACAACAAATGAAATACTGGACCTCCTCATATTTGCTCAAAGAGATAAGATCTACTGGGCACTGTAGTCAGCCCAGCACCAGCTGAGGTGGAGAGGAAGGAAAAGCCGTTCGTTTATTCCCCAATATCTCCTCAGCAGCCCCTGGCTGCTCCTCAACCACGGCTGCTCCAGGAAAATAGTAGAAGTCACCCTGGTGAAATTCTCCCCTACATACACCTAAAGTCTGCAATTTAAAAAAAAGAAGAAATGAAGGAGCACCAGGACTCTATAGTTTTCCTCTTCCTTTGTTGATTCTGGATGGAACTTTCCAAATTTCAAGGATATTCTTATGTTGGGGAAAAAAAAAGCTGTAGGGCTATATGGTTATATTATTACAATGCTTTATTTTATATTATATATTATATTATTATATCATATTACATTAATCTCCATTATGTTGCTGAAATTATTTCAAAAAGATTATTCATTAAGAAGCTTCAGAAACAAAAGTCCCACTGCTAACTTTCCCTTCGCCTTTTCTCAATTTTCAGGTGACCTTGTACAAGGACTCTGGCATGGAGGACTTTGGGTTCAGTGTCGCAGATGGCTTGCTGGAGAAAGGCGTGTATGTCAAAAATATTCGCCCTGCTGGGCCAGGCGACCTTGGTGGCTTAAAGCCCTATGACAGGCTCTTACAGGTAGGACCTCAAGGGGCATCTTAATTCCTTGCAACTAACTTATAACTGGCAACAGCCTCCAAATCCTCCTGCACACTTGTGCCCTTTGCACATTCCCCTCAAACCCTGCCATCAAGATTATGGGATTAGTAGGAATGAACAACTGAATAAAGAATTTTTAGCTCTAGTAAATTTAATCTCAGGCCCAAAAGTTCTCTTGTTTCTTAATAGTTTTTTTGACACTGAGTTCAAAGCCATCTTTCTCAATCTAATGCTCATCCTCAGACCCAACCCAGCATGGGCCATTAATGTGTACGTATATCCGCGTATGTATACATCACTACATCACTATTAGGCAGTTATCTGACACCACATCCCCATCGTCTAGTCCTTCCACCCATACTTCTTCAGCATGACCTACCAGGTCCTTGTCATTTGGCCTTCCCTTCCCTTACCAGTACCTTGTCCTGCCTCTCTGTTCATTTGTTCTCTAGGTACAACTGGACTTGTTGCAGGAATGGTGTACCCTGCCACCTCCAGGCTTCCTATCACTAGAACACAGGCCTTACTTTCTCTGTAAGCCTCACTGATGTTATTAATACACCACATGCATTTGTACTCAGAGGCCTCTGCCTCTGCTGCTCCTGAGCTTACACTGCACCTCTGCCAACCATGCACACCTTTCCCCTACTTCAGGTGACTTCCTCGGTGCCATTGTTAAGGCACTCTATCTAAAACCGCCTCCTTCATTCTCCATTCCCTTACCCTGCTTCCTTTTCACAGCACAGCCAGACATCATGCCAGTCACTTGTTACTCTTTCTTGCCCACTAGGCATGTCCTCCCCATGAGGACAGAGATTTGACTACCACTCTGTTCCAGTTCCAGGACAACACCTGTCATATAAGAAGTGGTTAATATTGTATAGAATAAATGCATGTGACTCTGAACATTGCAATATACCATACCCCTTCTCAGAAACACTGTTCTATCCCATCTTCCCTACCTGCTCAATTATTTCTTAATCTTTTGGCCTCACTTTAATCAATGATTCTCAACCTTGAATAAAAAATGGAATTGCTTGGAGAATTTATGCCGGTGACCACACAAAATCCCAGAATGCAAAACTATGCCAATGAGTTTCTACATCTACCCAAGTGAGCAGCCAGGTGAAAACTACTAACTTAGATGACCTCAAAGTCATGTTAACCAATTCCTACCTGTCCTCATGCTGCAGCACACCCTATATTCTATTTAGGATAGAAGCTTTTACCTTTGGTAGAATTTATGTTATTACAGCTGCCTGTTTCTCTATATCCTCTTTTCCTGTGTGTGTTCCCTGAGGGTAAACTCCTTGAGAGCAAGGCTAGTACCTTGTTCATTTTCTTATCTGCCACTATATAGTGAGATATTTCAACATCTCATATGACATCAGAAATGAAAAAGCTGAACCTGAAAATTTAATGTCTGGTATTATCAAGTCCTTGTTTAGTTTCATTTAGCAAGGCAAAGTCCTAATCCTATGGACAGTTTTTAGGAAGAACATTGTGCAAGCAAAGGAGTGGGTCAGTCTCAGAAATATGTTTAACTGGAATGAATATCTCACTAACAACTGGCTTTCAGAGCATGAGGCTGAAACAAGTTGTCATTAATCAACTAGATCTAAAACCAATCCTGGTGGTTAATTTTACCTTGGCAATGGAATGATCAGTCTTGTCCTAGGTGGGACAAGTTACTGAGCTTCCATGAGCAATGTCTTTCTAAACCACTACTTGGGGCCACAACTGCTTCACAAAAGTTAAAGCTGTAAAAGTAGACTGGATTCAGATTGTGAAAGGCATTGGCCCTTCAAACTTTATTCTGGAGGCATATTAATTTCATAAGCAAAATAATGCCATTATTTATAACTTGGAAAATCAGTACAATATTATCGTGGGTGGGAAAGTGGAAGATGACACAAGGAGCCTGGGGAAGTGTGGGTAAGACACCTGTTCAGACCTATACCACCTTGCATAACAGGCTGGATCTGTATCTTAGAAGAGAAGTTAGAGCAGGGCTAAAGACTTCAGATACTGAAGGTGAGCATTTAAACAGAGTTGCCTGTGGGGAGCTTATAGTAAGAAAGAGAAGGGAACTATGGGTAGAATTCTAACAATACAAAATTGACAGGGCAGAAAGCAATAAAAGCAGGAAAGAACTTAAAGAAAATGGTGAAAATGTTAAGAGGATAGAAACAGAGTATCTGAGAACCAAATGTTTTGAGAGCCCCCAGCTTAACTGGATTCTAGTACCAGAGCAATTAGTAACCCTGCTCTAACAGGAAGTGAAGGGGAGTTGGGGATGTTTGGAGTTGGGGTGTTTACAGTGTGCCTTTCATGCAATGTTTCTTTTACCTGGAGGGTGGTTAAACCTAGGTGTCCAAACTGCACCCGGGAGCTCAGCCTGAGGAAGACTTATTTGTACTGGCAGAGGCCCTTGTGGTTCTTGTGTGACACATGGCCAGTTCATGCTGCCTGACCATGATCTTGACTCTGGGACCCCACCATTTGGCTCCCCCAGCAACTTGGGGAAAACCAGCCCTGGAGCAGCCCCTGGTACTCCTGTAGGAAGATACATATTCAATGCATCACAACAACAGTGAATAAATTCAATGGTGTTCATTTACTTGTCCTGAGTAGGGAGGGGACCGAGAGTCAGGAGAGCAATCCTCTGTTCCTAGACCACATAAGACAGGAATGAAATGTCAAAAAGAGAGGGGGAGGTTGAGAACTAGCAGTATATACTAGGGAATAGGGGATAGTTTGAGGGTAAATGTCTGAATGGTCCATTTAAAGGAAGTGGCAGGAAAAGTAAGGAGCACAGTCTGCTAGGAGAGAAAAACATCTCTAAATTCTTATTTCTGGCCACCAGCTTGGGACTTTGGGTGTGGTGTTTCACAGCAAACTTTGCTGTGTTATTCCTGTTACACCAGAAACGTCAAAGGATGAACAGGCATCCAGAGAAGGAAGTGCTAAAGGTCAAGGAGGATGAGGACTCGAAACTATTCCTGGGTTTAGCAATTGGGCTCATTTATACAATATAAATGGCAGGCCCTGGACCTCAGATGATGGAGGAGAAAATGAGGAGTCAGGAGTGGGAGTGGAACATAGGTGATATTGAAAACTGTTAGTGGTAAAGAAGAATGGAAGGGGAGCACCTGTGCACACTGACGAGGGTGCAGGCTCACTTTTAGGCAAGGTGGTTCAACGTCATGGTTAAGGGCATGGGTGCTGCATCAGTCAGGATGCCTGGATTACATCCTTGTGAGGTCCTTACCAACTACCAATCTAAGGCAAAGCTCTTAACCCCTGTAGGTCCTGCTTTCTTCACCTGTAAACTGGGGGCAATCTTCAAAAAAGTGGCACCCAACCCCCATGAATGAGGTGATCTGCTCAGCGTGGGGACAGCAGTGGCAAGCTGCTAGGGGGCTTGCCAACTAGCAGCAAAGAATGAGTGGTGAGCCAATAGTCATGTCATAGTACAGTCAGAGCAGGGAGGGGGAACCTATCTGCACAGGTACACGTTCAAACGCCTTCAAAATTAACCAGTCTTCCATACCTCGTGTACACTGGGTTCAGGGAATTATGGTTCCATCGATAACGCAAAATGGCTTTTCTTAACTTTTCAGGTTAATCATGTCCGAACAAGAGACTTTGACTGCTGCCTTGTCGTGCCCCTCATAGCGGAATCTGGTAATAAGCTGGACCTGGTTATTAGTAGAAACCCACTAGCTTCCCAGAAGTCTATAGAGCAACAGACTCTACCCGGAGGAGACTGGAGTGAACAGAACAGTGCTTTCTTCCAGCAGCCTAGCCACGGTGGTAATCTAGAGACACGAGAACCCACTAACACGTTATAGCAACACTTTTATAAAGCAGGACAAAAGACGTTATCTACATGGTGCTAAAAATCCCTTTAAGATTTCTGTGACATTTGAAGCACAGATAATCATGTGGCATTAACTGCGAGCACAGGGGTCTTTTAAATCTCTCTCATGGCTCATGTTCACTTCCCTTTTCAATTTGAAGAGGTTTCTTTTTTGGTGACCACTATGGTATATGGTAGCCAATTTCCTGCCAGGCCCAATGGTAGAGAAAAAAAGAAAAACAGACTGCCCCTCCCTACAATTAACATCACAGAACATTTTTTACAAGTTCATCTTACTATCACTTTTTAAAAAGAGAAGTGTCTGTTTGAAAATGTTCTCTGTGATAATTTCCTTAATTCACTTTGACATCAGTTTCTTACAATGAAGTAATTAGAGTAAGAAATTTACCAACATGGCTTTTCATAAAGCTGGCTCTGCTGGAGGAAGTAGTATTTGGTAAGCTGCTGGGACTACTGCAATGGGAGGGATACAGGTATAAAGTTAATCTTAAAATGTTTCAGCAATGATGCACGTAGGAGACCATAATAGGTGGTGGTAAATGTTTTGCCCAAATATAGGAATGATTTTAACTAAGATGTATGCTATTCCCTATGCAACAAATTATCAAACAGGATATGTCTTGTGACCTGTTTTTTTTTTTAAGGACACATTTTTTTAATAGCCGAAAATCTCTGTTAATGAATTAGAGTGTGTAGTAACACTAAGAATTAGTTATATTATCCTATTTTTAAAATTCAAAACTAAGAATTTAAGAGAGAATGAAGAGTCTATTAAAATGAGGTTCATCTTAATGATAGGCAAATCGAACTCCTCATACTGCTTGACACGTTTTGAAAACTGGTAATACTGAGGGGTATACAGCACATGTACTTAAAACTGACACTGGACTGACTATCTTTTGTTCTGAGCCATGCCACTTACTGAAATTGTAAATACATGTTTCACAAAATTCATTGCCAATTATTACCATCCCTCAAAGCAATAAATTGTGACAGTTGCTTTTAATGTTTGTTGGCAACTGTTTTCATTTGTTCAGATATTTTGAATAGCTACACTAATAACTGTTATTTGGTAAATATAAAAATAGATCTGTATATTGATGGTAGAATGTTGAAAACAATTATTTTCCAAACATTTTCATTTTGGTCAATAATGCAACCAACCATTTAGGCAAAGCATTCAAACACTGTGTCCTTTGTTTAAGGAAAACATTCACCTTTCTGTGCAAAGAAATATATTATTTCAATCACATTTCAGAATCGCCAGGGCAAGAAAGTATAAAGCAGAATCATGTTAAGGAAAAAAAAAAAAGATCATGAGTCACTTAAATATGTATTTTTATTTGTAACAAACAAGTATTAAACTGTAAAGTATTTTTGTACAAATTTAATACTTTAATAGCATGGTATTTATCGTCTATGTATGGTTTTGGGGAATTCAAAATTGTTGCAAATATTTGTAAGGAAATAAAACCCTCTACCAAATGGAATAAACAGTGATTTTAAAAAGCCAAGAAAATATGACATGTATTTTTGGTGCACTGTAGTGTTCTAACTTGAGTTATATGCAATTTCCATTCATACACAATTTCCCAAAGTGTGAAGGTTTTTCCATAAACTTGAAAAGCACCATGGATATGTAGAGAATGGGCTTAGACATCAGATCTGGGTTTGAATTCTAGTTCTGGTACTCCAGGTTAGTAAGAAATTTACCTGCCATGAGTCAAACTCCCCACCTGTGATACTGAAGGTCATGTCTGCACCACAGAAGTGTTGGAGGACTAGCAGTAAAATATGTACCTAAGGGCTAAAAACATCTGCACAAAGGAACACCTCCAGGACCAATTGTACATTCATTTTAGAAGGCAAAGATACAAATCTTAACTCAAAGATCACAACATCTACCTTCAGAGAACATGTATTCTATGAGATATAGTTACATTAACTTAACATATACAAACTTAATTATGCTAGCTCTTAAAAAACTACATCTATAGCCCCTGACATAGAACCTGTACACTCATATCCATTTTTATACAGTTGCATTCAGGATGCCCAGGGTCATACTCTATAAACACTTGGGAGTCACATGACCCTAAATGAAGCTCTATTGTTGCAAAACCCAAACAACTATTCGTATTTTATTGCACTGAATATAGTAATTTCTGTATAAAGACTGAAGCAGAAGCTGATGAAATGCAGTGTGGTTAGGATTATGTGAATAATAAAAGCAAATGAGAAGCTGTGTTTCATGTGAAAGGCCCACATATTGTAGTTATAACAAAAATAAAAATGAATCAATAAAAGAAAATGATTGTTAAGGGAGAAGTTAGTACATACCTCTCAATAATAGCTCTAAATGTAAATGGTCTTAAAAATGCACACTGGCTGAATGGATTAAAAAAACACAATCCAACTTTTTGCCATCTACAAGACTCAAAGTAAAAAGGAAAGAAAACAAAACTCCAAGAAAACAGAATTCAAAATCAAGCAGGAATAGCTATAGTTACATATACGACAAAGCTGACTTTAAGCCAAAATTGTCAGAAGAGATAAAGAGGGTCACTGAATATTAATAAAGCAAACGATTTATCAAAAAGATATAACAATTGTAAATATATATACACCAAATGTTGTATACCCAATTTCATAAAATGAACACCACTGGACTTAAAGTGACAGGTATAGAAACAGTAAGAGTGGGTGAGTTCGATATCCTACTCTCAGCCATAGATAGAACACAAATACAAAAGAGTTAACAAAGAATTTCAGAGTTAAACTGCAGTATATACCAAATGAGCTGAACAGACATCTCAGACTATGCATGATGCCTTAGGTAAGAACATCAAGGTTCAGGCCAGTCCTAGACAAAAATGAAAGATCCTACCAGAAAATAATGAAAGCTAACAGGGCTGCAGGTGTGGAGTCAATGACAGAGCACTTTTCTAGCAAGCACAAGGCCCAGAGTTCAAATCTCAGTATTGCCACAAAAAGTTATTTCTGTAAGATAATAACCACCCCCCTCCTCTGTGCCCACCAGCCTTTGTGTGCCAGGAAATGCTTATTGCAAAAAACCTTCCTTTCCCATATGACTTGATACATACTCCCTAACCTGTTTACTTATAACAAAATAAGACACAGCTAATCCCCAAAATCATTTAGCTGAACTGTATGTGCCCATTAGACAACGTAAATAGAATATTAAGCTTCCTTTCCCCAGGCCTTTGAACTTTGGCCAACACTCCCAAGGCAGCATGCAACCTTCCTTAATAGCCTTTCCTAAGAGTCTAAGAATAGGAAATAAAAATTAATGAAACAGAAGATAGAAAAACAGTAAAGAGAATCAGTAAACTAAAAGTTGGTCCTTTTAAAAGATCCATAAATTCATAAAATATTAGCTAAACTGACAGAAAGAGAAAGAGACAAAGAGAAGACTCAAATTATTAAAATAAGGAAGGAAGAGGTAGCTTTACTACAAACCTTACAGAAATCAGATCAACTGTATGGCAGCAGATTAAATAACAGATGAAATGGACAAATACTTAGACAGACAAACTATCAGAACTGACTGTGAAATAGAAACAGACTTGGAATATGAAAACATAAGGAAGTAAAGAAAGTTAATTAGTAATTTTAAAACTTCCCACAAAGAAAAGCCCAGGCCAACCACTGGAAGTGTGACTGAATTGGTAGCGCACTTGCATAGCAAGCACAAGGCCCTGAGTTCAAACCCTTGTAACACACACAAAAAAAAAAAAAAACAGTGAACAAAAGATTAGCAAACCAAATCTAGCAGCACATAAAAATGATTATGCATTATGAGCAAGTGGGATTTATTTCAGGAATGCAAGGTTGGTTTAATATCCAAAAATCTGTATAATATAGCAAATTAATATAACAAAGGAAAAAACTACATGGTCATCTCAACAGATAGAAAAGTCATTTGACAAAATTCAATGTTCCTTCATGATGAAAATATACAACAAATTAGGAACAGAAACAAATTCCTCACCTGGATAAAGGTCCTCAAAGAAAAACCCAGCTAACAGATTTAATTCTTTTCTCTATGCTAGAGTTTGGATGTTAAATATCCCCAAAAGACCACGTGTTAAAGTCTTGGTCTTGAAGGCTATGCTATGGAACCTGCTGTGGACCTTCAGAAGGTGAGGTCTTGGGAGAGGTTTTTAGGTTACTGGTTGCATGCCCTTGAAGAGGATTGTAGAACCCAAGTCTGTTCAGTTGCTCACTTTGTCTCTTGGCTCATGAGATGAGGGGTTTGCTCTGCTATGTACTCCCACCATGATGTGCTACTCTCACCAAGGGCCCAAAGCCATGGGGCCACTCAATCTTGGACTGGAGTTCCAGAACTGTAAACTAACAACACCTCTTTTCTCTTCACAAGTTAATTGCCTCAGGTATTTCATTATAGCAATGGAAAGCTGACTAACATGTCTTAATGTTAGGACATCCTAACATCCTTGTTAAGCGTGACAAGGATGTCCATTCTTGCCACTTCTACTCAAAAGTGTACCAAACAATCTAGCCAGGCCATTAAGGCAAGGAAATGAAGAATTAAAACAATTTCTATTTTCAAATAAGATAGTTTCTTACATAGAAAATCCAAAGGAATCTATTGAAAACCTACAGATATAAGTTCTGCAAAGTAGAAAAATCTAAGATCAATATACAAAAATCAATTTTGTCTCTGTACAATAGCAAAGAACCAAAAATTAAGAAAGCTATTTGTCAAAAGGAAAAAATATCAAAAAGAATACTTTCAAATAAATAAAAAAGAACTGTGAATTTAATTTAAACATATAAAACTTAATACTTTGAAAGCCACAAAGAAATTAAAGAAGACCTAAATAAATGAAGAACATCCTCATGGATAAGAGTTTAAGTATTGTTAAAATGGCAATACTCCCCAGATCTATTGATTTAACAACATGATCCCCGTCAAAATCCCAGCTGGTCTCTTTGAGAAACTGACAAGTAAATCTAAAAATTTATATGGAAATGCAAGGGACCTATAATAACCAAAACAGGCTTGCAAAAGAACAGCACCATTAGAGGACTCATGCTTGATTTCAAAACTTACTATAAAGCTACAGTAATGAAGTCATTGTGGTACTGACATAAGGACAGGTGTCACTTATGGAACACTACTGAGAATCCATAAGTTAACTCTCATATTTACAGTCAACTGATTTTTGACAAAGGTACCAAGACATTTCAATGGGGAAATAATGATATCTTTAAGAAAGAGCTGAAGCAATTGCATATCCACATGCAAAAGAATGAAATGGGATCCCTACCTCATATCATATAAAAAAACCCTCAAAGTTAATCAAAGATCTAATTTTAAGAGCTAAAACTATTAAATGCTTATAAGAAAAAAAAATTTAAAAAATTAAATCTTCATGACTTTGGATAGGCAGTGGTTTCTTTGGCTGCTTCACCACAAGTATAAACAATAACAACAAAATACACTGAACATCATTAGAATTTAAAATGTATGCTTCAAATCAAGCCATCAAGATTGTAAAACACAGAATGAGAGAAAAAAATTCAGATCATGTTTCTGATAAAGGACTTCCATATCAAATATATAAGGAATTCTAACATTTTAATAATAAAAGAAAAGAAAAACCACCTAATATAAAATTAGGCAAAAAATCTGAACAGATTCTTTCTCCAAACATATATAAACAACCAATAAATACATGAAAAATGTTTGGTTCAATATCTTTAGCTACAAGGAAAGTGTAAAACCACAAAGAAAATACCACTTCATACCCACAAGAATAACTGTAACCAATAACAAATGTTAGAGAATATGGAGAAAATTGGCCAGAATTTGGTAACAGCTCCTCAAGAGGCTAAACACAGCTACCACACGATCCACCAATTCTACTACTTATATATCCAAAAGAAATTAATGTCTACACACACAAAGAAATTGCACACAAATGTTCAGAACAGCATTAATCATAATAGCCAGAGTGGAAACCACCCAAATGTTCCTCAACTGATAAATGGATAAATCTATACAATGCAGTATCATTTGGCAATAAATGAAATACTGATACAACACAAATGAAATCTGAAAACATTATGCTAAAGAAGTCAGCAACAAAGGATCACATAATGAGACAAATCCATTCAGAGAAAATGTTCAATACAGGAAAATCTATGGAGACAAAGTAGGTAAGTAATTGCCTAGGGTTAGAGTGGAGGAGGGGATATGGTTAAGGGGTGCAGGTGGGGGGGGTATGAAAATGTTCTAAATTTGACTGTGGTGACAGGTGCACAATTCTGGGAATACACTGAAAGCTACAGAACTGTATACTTGGAATGGGTTAACTGTATATGTCAACAAAGCTATTAAGAAACATTGCTGTAACAAGTCTATTTTCCCTTAGCTTTTCTTTTACCATTTGCCTTAGTCCATTGTGTTGTCATCCATAAAAGAGTACCACAGGAAAATTTAGTGAAAAAGTAAGTTTATTTCTCACAGTTTTGAAGGACAGGAAGTCCAATACAGGCATATCTGAGAGATACTGGAGGTCTGGTTCCAGACAACCTCAATAAAGAGAATATTGCAATAAAATGAGTCACATGATTTTTTTGGTTTTCCAACGCACGAAATTATGTTTAGGGCTGGGGATGTGACTCTGGTAGAGTGCTTCCCTAGTATGTATGAGGCCCTGGGTTCAGTCCCCAGCACCAAACATACACAAAAGTTCATGATCACACTCTATTGGTAATCTATCAAGTGTGCAATATAGCATTATATCTAAAAACAAAGCAGTTGTATAGAAACTTATTTATTGCTACAAACTGCTATCTGAGCAATTGGAAAATGATGCCAACATACTTGCTCCACATAGGGTTACCATAAAACCTCAATTTGTAAACAACTCAACATCTTGAAGCACAATAAAGCAAAGTGTGGTAAAACAAAGTATGCTGTACCAAGGTGCCAGCATCTGGCAAGGCCTTCTTGTTTTGTCATCTCACGGCAGAAGGCAGGAAGGAGGACAAGACAACTCAAGAGAGCAAGGGGCTGGATATGCTTTTTATCAGGAAAAAACAAAGCACTCGTGACCTTAACACCTCTCATTAGGCTCCAATACCCCTACCACTGCTGCACTGGGGATAAGGTTTCCAACACACAAAGTGTAGGGGACACATTTAAACCATAGTATCATTTAACAATATAAATTTAAACATTAAATCGCTCTAAGAAATATTCCTGAAATCTGATATATTGAAAACAATGTGCTCCCAACTCAGAAAACACTTTTAGCAGAAGTCTCGGGTACGCTGGGCCCCAGCACCAGTGACAGTGAGCAACAGCCTTGTAAATGACTGCTTTGCAGAAGACGTGACACCCCTGAATGTGTCAATGACACCAGTAGATGCACTTACAGGTCGTCTCTGCCATCACTTCAATCCACTGGCAAAGACAACCAACAATGATTATGGAAGTTAATAAGACATTATGCTAAAAATAGAGCACTTTAAAATACAAGTTTTTTTTTTTTTAAATATAGTGTCTTCTCCCCTAATTTATGTCCAGTGGTGCCAGTTCTCATGATGACGTTTTCTTTGATCAAGTGAATTTAAAACATCTGCCAACACAAATGCCTTAAAATGAAACTCAAGTTACAGGCATCTTCTTCTTAAAATGTTGACGGTTCAATGTTTATTTTGTATTGAAAGGAAAAAAAATACTATTTTGAGCAAGCTGAAGTAAAATTTCTTTTTTTCTTTTTTTTTAAATAGTCTTGTTACAATGCCCAGGCTGGCCTCAAACTCACAATCATCCTGGTTATTACTAGTGTGTATCACCAAGCTCAGCTTTATTAAGTTTCTTGATTGCTTGTGGGTTCAAAAAGTTGCCTGGGGATTAAATTATTTAGTCTCAAATTCTGAAGTCTAGAAGACACTTGTGGAGATGATTTTTCCACCTGTTAGAAAATAAAAATAAGTTAATTTTGTAAAAATGTAGTCAGTCTACCCTATGTATTTCTATTACCTCTGACTGCCTCTGGAAAAGAAACAATACATTCCTTCCACCCCTTGGATGACTTGAGCAGCCACAGCAATCAGTGGTCATCTCCTTAGAGTATCATTTCTGATTCTGGTCACCATGGCATCCCCAGCATCCAGCTGTGGGTCTGTAATTGCTGAAGTGACTACTTACTGAATAAGTACATGTATCTAACTTCTAAAGACACACACAGGGCTCACCATATAATTTAGCAGCCCAGTACAAAATCAGAAGGAAGGCTTGTTGTTCAAACATTAAGATTTTCAAGATGACTGTCACAGAGCAATAAAAAAGTGTGGGTCCCTAAGCACACGGTCCTGTATGACTGAGAGGTTGCATGCCCATGAGGACAGCTCTGGATATAGTAAGGTGAAACACTGCAGTGCCATGATCTCATTCTTCACACTACTAGTGACTCCAATTTTGCTCCGTGTTCACAGATCTGCAACACTGGCCTCGGTCAGAGCTTCAAGACTCCAGCATACTCAGAACTAAGGATGGACAATGCTGCCATTTTCTATTTGTACCATCATATAAAACCATAATTCACTATCCCGTGTTGGTGTTAAGAAATATAACAAAAAGAAACTTTTTCAAAAGGCTCACTTTTTGGAATTGCCTCTTCCTTGCTCAGGTCAAGGAAGCCTTATTTCAGGGCCTTTGCAAGAGATGACAGGTTTACTTTCAGGGAAAAAAAAATATTTTAGTGAGATTGAAATAAGATAGTAGAGTCTGGATGCAGATCTGCTTAGAATCAGCAGGGAGTCTACTATTGCCATGGTGGGGGGTACGGGAGGAACTTTTGATTCCCCACAATAACTTCTCCCACAAAACCTGACCTCTTTTTCTGATCCTGGTTACCTGGATTTACCTGTATGCCCAGGCCAGGTGCCTATGAGCCATTCTCCTCCCAACCCCAGCTCATCATTAGATTCCACCAACTCTGCCACTTAGCGTCTCCTCTTCATCCCAGTTGCTAGCACCTAACGTTTGAATCTAATCATTTCCCCCAGAGTATGATAACCCTTTTCTTTTGGTGGTACTGGGGTTTGAACTCTAGGCAGGTGTTTTCCCACATGAGCCTGCCTCTACCCCACTTTGCTCTGGCTGTTTTGGAGATAGGGTCTTGCTTTTTACCCAGGCCATCCTGACTGCAATCCTCCTATTTTGATGATTCTCACCATCACTGGGACGATAGGCATGTACCACCACACCCAGCTTTTCTCTGCTGAGATCAGATCTTATGATTTTTTTTTTTTTTTTGCCTGGGCTGGCCTGGAACCATGATCCTCCTGATCTCAACTTCCCAAGTAGCTAGGATAATCTTTATGCTGGGAACTCATCAGTCCCCTCGTTTCGCCCTAACCACCATTCACTAAACTGTGGTCATGGTCACCTTCCTAAGTTTCAACCCACAGAGTGCTTAAAACACTTCTACTGCTTTCCATTGCAATCAGAAGACTGGATGATATCTTTAGAAGCCTCTTCCCTTTTTGTCCTTCCTGACTGTTCCTATGTCCTTTGCCCATTTGCACCCTGGGGTCTCCTGGTGGCTTAATCTGTTGATACTTCACACGCTGAGCCCTTTGCCAGGCAGATTCTTAGAGGACCTGCTAAGTATTACATCTCATCCAGAGATGGAGGACATGAGTATTCCTTCTTTAGCACTCAGTCTGCAGTAGGCAGGTCACACTAGCACAAGATTGCTGCCACCACAGTAGGCAATTCTTAAACTTCTTTTTAAACTATACTTGGAAATAATTTAAAATCCCACATTAAACAGTCTACTACAGGAACACTCTTCAGATCCCCAAGCAGTTTCTCACCTCTTTCTCACCTTAGGAAATGGCACTGCCCTTCCCCCTAATTGTTTCAGCCAGAAACCCCAGAATCATTCAGGATTATTCTCTTTTGCCCCCTCACATCTAATCAGCAAGTTGAACAGACTCCATTTCCAAAATGCAAAAGCCAAAAAGGAGAGATAGAAAAAGATTGATTCACTTTAGTGAATGAAGACACTAGCTTGACTAAAGCTGAAAAGGATAGTAGGAAAGGAAATGGTTCAGGGAAAGCACCAATCGAATACACAAAGGTCTCAAATGACAAGTCAAACAGCACAGAGTTGATAGTGCAGGCACCAGGGAGCCACTGAAGGCTCTTAAAGACATGAGCTAAGGGGTCCAGGGATATAATCTGGTAACAACATGTGGGGTGTGATTAGGAGAATGGGAACCAAGCAAGGGGGTGGAGCCAGGTCATCAATCATCTAAGAAGATGAGATAAGGACCTAAAAAAGGAATGGAAGAAATCCCTGAAAAGGATGTTTTGTACTAAAGCTAACTACCTGTAAGTAGACAGCGAAGGCAAGGTGAACCTATGGTCATTCCAGGACTTTGTATAACTAGGCAAGTAGTGTCTGAAATGGGAAACTGGAAGAGAGTAAGATGCTGGGCTGTGGTTTCATAAAGGTCAATCTCTAGAAACAGACACAGATTAGGAATCATGAAGAGCATTAATTGCTCTTCAGTGTCACCAAGTCACTTCCACAGCTGTCTGGCTGCACCCCAGTCAGGGTCAGAGTGAGAACTGTCACACACTGATCATTGAATTCTTAGCGCCTGGAATATGGCAGTTAGTTAAAACTCTGTTGAACAGATCACCAGGAAGACGGGATGGCTGAAACTGAGAATGAGGTATGTTCTCAAAGAAAAATAGCCTAGAAATGTCTCCAGTTAGAGGATGAGTGGGAGAAAAGGAGTGAGGAAATGAGGGGAGTCAAGTAACACTAAAACCAAGGGGAGGAGAATGAAACAGCAAGAGCAGGTAAAACTATTAAGTGTTGGGGGAAAAGTCAAGTCAGGACCTAAGAAGAAGCCCTCAAAGCTGTCAAGAACAGAAGACTGAACAAGCCATTTCAAGGGAGTTATTGAGATGAAATGATCAACCAGGGCCTGCAAAGTGGGGCTGGGGGGGATGCTGACAAGACAGGGGGAAGGAAGGCACAGTGACAAAGCTTTCTTCTGGCACATCACCGTCCATCAATCAAGTCATCAATCAGTAGAGACTGCCTACAGCAGCAGCCTCAGGCCAAGTGAGAGAAAGTGCTAGGATCAACTGGGCACAGAAGCGGGGAATTTTGACAGAGAAGGGCACCAGTGGTTTTAAGTTCGACAGCACATTTGCAGATATGCTGCAATGAGCACAATTTAGACAACTCTTGAGCACACATGAGCATCGCTCCTACCATGAGAACTTTGCTTGGACTTTCACTGATATTCATGTCGCTGGTTCTTTTGGAGCCTCGTGATTGTGCTAAAATCTCTTTCTCATCCTCATCCACTTCATCAAATGAAAACATCCGCCATTCTGCAGCAAAGGTGAATGGCCCATCTTTAGCCAGAGAGGCCTTGCTCTTGGTGACATCGTTTGTGACTGTATTGGCTGAGGCTGTAGGGATAGGTGAAGTGGGAGGCTGTGTGCTGGGTCCTCTGCTATCTCCAGAGCTCTTCGACTGGGGAAAATCTGCTGGAGATGCATGGCTAACAGAGAGCTCATTTTGCAAGAATTGTTTTAAACGAGTTTTCCTGGAAATACTGGGCTTCCTGATTGCATTCTGGAGCTGAGACTCTTCTGCAATGACGTACACTCTGCGGCGGCCCCTGGTCACCGCGGTATAGACGTGCTGCCAATGCTGGCGACCCGCCTTCCCCACCACATAGACGACAGTGTCCTCCTCGGATCCCTGAAAGCCAACAACACAGTGTGAGCACACAGCACAGTGGAGTAGGTTCAGACAGCTTACAGAGGAGGGAGCGAGACAAGTCCTTGCACATACCTTCTACCTGGCCGAGCACTCTTCCTATCAATCCATCTTATGAGATCCATGTTATTCACAACCTCAGAATTCACAGATCCTAAATATGCAGCCTAGTTCGGCTCTCAAAGGTACACAACTGGATTGCAAAAACCCAGTTACAAACTTTAAAGACTGCATACAGTGCTGGATTTTCCCTAATCAAACACTTTGGAATGACTATATGGGCTTTATGTGTAAATATGTTTTCCTAATGTTTCTTATAGTGGCAAAAATATCCAATAAGAGGAAAATATATATACATTTGACTTCTCAAATATGGAAAGTGCTTTAAAATATAACAAACTTTTAAAATTGGATACTATACGTAAAGAATGGTAACAACTGTGTTACAAAATAAAATTACTCATCCAAAAAAGTACATAAAGAACAACAAATATATAATATAAAACAAAATAGAGAAAGGAAGGAAATTCTATCAAAATTTTAATTAATATTTCTCCAAATGGAAGGCCTATGGATGATTTTTTTTCTTCTACCCCTGTATTTTCTCATTGTTGAACCATTTATGACTTTCATCAAGATAAAAGAAAACAATGAAGCTTTGTGTTTTAGCCTTAGCAAACCAGAATCTAAAGGAAAGAAAAATCTCCAAAGTCTCCACAGAACTGTAAAGAAACAATTTCATACTCTGAGACTATCTTCACAGACCCTATATTTTGAAAGCAGCACATCCACCATCAGCACAGATGAAGTGGTTTGAGCCATCATCTCCTCCTTCCTCCCATATCCCTCCTATCAAAAGAAAAGCTTCAGGAAGGCAACAGACAAGATGGGAAGTGTGAAAAATAGAGATCTACTGTAAAGAAAGTCTCCCCAGCAAGCTCGTCTATCTCCCTAGACAGACTCTAAACCAACTCCTCAGACTGAAAGAGTTGGATAAGTCCTTCTTCCCAAAACTTCTGGGTCTCAGAAAAGGGCGTACATGATCCGTGATTATATAGCTATGAAGTACATTTTAGAGATGTACACCATCCTTCCCCTTTAGACTTGACATTGTGTATCCCTCGACATGAAAATGTCCAAGTGACTGACCCAGTTCTCAGTCATCAGGTAAGCAACCCTGAGAAAAAGCACAGCAGTAATGGAAAAGGCACAGGCTCATAATTAGTACCCTGTGCACACTTGCTCCAATCCACTATCTTCACAGCTACCACAATAGGATTTGCAAAATGCAAATCCAATCACCTGGACTTGGCTTACAGCCCTCCCATGGCTCCTAGCCCCCCAACATGCTCCTGAGGCCCTTTCAAGAGCCACCCTGGGCCCTGAGCACTACCTTCCCTCCTCTGCCTTTCCCCTTTCTTTTCCATGAACCAACACGAGGAACTTCTTTATAGTCTTGTTAGTGTCCCTCAGTCTGTGCCCCATCATTTACTTTCCAGCACCCTGTACGTGCTCTATCCCATACTTCTTACCAGACAGTAAGCTCTAGGAAGGCTGATCCTGTCCATCTGCTCACTACTTTGTCTGCAGTGCCTCACTCAATGACTGATGATAAAAATTAAAAGGGCATGCTGCATGAACCAAAAATCTGTTGACAATGGCATTCTGTATCCCCAAGTGGTACCTACCTACCTCAGAACGAGGAACATGACACCTATTTTAACAACAATAACCTGCTATAAATTGTCTATTTCTTTAAATCATCTTTGAACCACTAGAGCTATCAAAATTCTTAAGTAGGCACGTTTTATATATTTACTTTTAATTATGTATACTTCTAATCTCTAAGTTTGTTCTTCAATTCAACAATGTGTATGATTTGCTATAAACCTTCAGTGGCTCCCAATTTCACTCAGAACAAAAGCCAAAATTCCTTACAATGGTCTAGAATAATACTGCACAATAGAAATATAAAACAGGTCATACAAGCAATTTAAATTTTTTTAGTAGCCATATAAAAAACATTAAATTTAATAATATCCTTGATTTATACTAGCATATAGAAAATATTCATTCCAACATAAAACCAACATAAAAATGATTAATAATATAATACATAGTCATTTTCTTCTGAATAAAATCTTTGAAATACTTTGAGAATTTTACACACCCCGCACAGTTCAATTTGAACAGTAAAATTTCACAGATACGCTTACACCTATATTTAGAGTTTATAAAATTAACAGTTGAAAACAAAGATTCACATATTCAAGTTGTTCCAAACACCCATAAGTTTTCTAATGACTGAATCTACTATCGGTTTTTAGACTGAAATTCAGTTCTCCATTCACACTAGCCACATTTCACATGCTCAAGAACTAGTGACGAGCATACCGAATATAGCAGGCTTTAGAAGAGCCTAGAAGGTAATCTGCCCCATCCTCCTACCCCCTTATCCCATATTACTCACCCGCCCATATCTCCTGATACACTCCCACCGTGGCCTCCTTGCTTTCCTTGTTTCTCAAATAATGCCAGACTCCTGCCTTGGCTTGTTGATCTTGATCATCCCTTTTCCTGGACTGCTCTTCAACCAGATACACACATGGTAGCATCTTTACCTCCATCAAGACATTGGTCAGATGCCACTTTCTCAATTAGGCTATTTAAAATCACAACTCCATCCCACCCCTACCTCTTTTCCATAGCATTTACCACATTCTAGAATAATACGGGTTGAGTATCCCTTATCCAAGATGTGTGGGATACCAGGTGTCTCTAATTTCAAGGTTTTTCAGATTTTGTATAATAATATAGATTTTACTGGATGAGTACCTCTAATTTGGAACATCAAAATATTCTAAAATCCTAAGTTTTTTTATTTTGAGTGGCACTGAAAACCTTTCAGATTTTTGGATTTTCAGATTTGGGATGTTCAACCTGTGTGTAATTTATTTTTTTAATGATAGTGTCTATCCCTATTCCTTTCCCCATCAAATATAAGCTTCACAATGGCAGAGATCTTTGTCTGTTTCATGAAATGACCTATGTGTACCAAGCATAAAGAAGAGTCTAACTCAATAAGTATTTGTGAATAGAATTTAACTTAAAAGAAACAAAATGTGCTGATATAACAATCCTGAGAGGCCTTAGGATTGTTGATTCACACTGAAGACTGAGGCTGAGGAGAAAATTTGAGGGAAAGGCTGTAACTGTAATGTCAGTTCCTCAAAATAAAGGGCACTCTGAAGAAAGGAGCAAAACATTACTGTCTGCCTAGCATTTTCCCTAACACCTTCTTTCTAATTTAAAAAATAAAATCAAGACCTGGAGGTGTAGCTCACTGGTAGGGCACTTACTCGGCATGCATGAGGCCCTGGGTTTGATCCCCAGCACTACAGGAAAAACATATAATAATAGCAACAAAAAGAAAACAGTGTAAGGTACTCTATGACTTGGCAAGCTATTTAAATAGCTTTGTAGAAGCCCACTCTTACCTGAAAAGTATGAATAGTCCTTGCCCATGCGTGTTTTATGTGACAATATTTCACTAATTTGCTAAAATCCACAGTTACTTCCAAGCCGGCCATATTATTAATGGTCAAATATCTTCTCTTTCCAAAAGTTACATCAGTTACATCCTGTCACACACGCAAAAAAAAGTAAACTTTGTACGCCTTCGAATATGCACACAGTAAAGATGGTCTGTCTTTCATCTGAATATAAACCATTATAAGCACCTTGTAAGAATAATAGCAGGTAAGGATTTCAAGAGGTTTGGGACTGAGAGTGGAGATCAACTTTAGAGAATGTGCTCAGCATTCTTGGGGTCCTGGGTTCTATCTCCAATACCAAAAGGGGAAAAAAAGGCCTAAAATCTATACTTAATTGAATATATTCACATTCAAACATTTTAATAAACAGAAATGGGGAATTTTCAGTCCTTGAAAGCTTATGTTTCCTCACAGCTTTTAAAAAATATTATAACCAGGGGTTGGATGTGGTGGCACATGCTGGTAATCTCAGCTATCCAGGAGGCAGAGACCAGAAGGATTGTGGTTCAAGGCCAGCCTAGGCAAAAAAGTTAGTAAGAACTCATCGCACCAAAGAAGCCATGGATGGTGATGCATGCATGTAATGTAGCTACATGGGAAGTGGATGTAGGAGGACTGCCCCAGGCAAAAGCAAGACCTAATCTAAAAAAATAACTAAAATAAAAATGGCTGTAGTTGAGCTTAAATGGTAGAATGCTTAGCAAGATCTTGAGTTGAAACCCCAGTACTGCCAAAATAAAAAAAAAAATTATGGGTGTCTACACAATGAGAACAAATGCAACCACTTCCACAATTTCTATATTTCAACTGCGACCAAGGATGGTTGTGCCTTGTTTTTGTTACTCAAGCATTTAAAACTTACTAAAATATGTTTCTTCACACAGTCTTCCAAAAAAAATATTAAAAAAAACACTAATGTTAGTCTTCTTAATTATGCCAGCATTATTCCAACATCAAAACCAGACATTATTAGAAAACCACATGGATGTAAAAACCCTTAACAAAAAAAAAAAAAAAAAAAAACTCTGAACAAGAATGTGGACTCTAGAATGATTCAATTCTGACTCACTTTTAGGGCAATAAACATCTCTAATTTAAGTAGGTATGACTTTCTAAGACTTACATTTTGTATGAAGAATATCTCCCCATTGCATAGTCGAATACCACTTTCAAGTGCATGCTTGTCTTTAGCAAGACCACGAGGATGACAAACGTCTTCACCACCGGTTTCTGTGTCACTCTCTGGCTGACTACCAGTGGTATCTTCAGGAAGTAAGTCTGAGAGATACGCATTCCTGGTACAACAAATTTTATCCTGAATTCCAAATACCAGTCTCTTCTTATGGTCTCTGGGTTAGAAAGTGGTAACATATCATCAAAGTTTGGAAATTTTCTGTTTCATTTCACTTAACTCACACTCAAGTCCAATCCAATCATCAAAATGATTTCTACCTTTTCTTTGTATCACTTTCATTCTCTACAGGTCAACAAGAAATCAGGCTCTCACAATTGTCACCTGATCATTTATTTATATACATGCTTTGCATCACCTCAAACTTAATGACATTTCCCAATCAAATTTTTTCAAGTTAGAAATTGGTATAAATGCTCTTTCAAAACACCCCTTCTATGTGCTGAACATTACCAAAAGTCTTTTTTTATTTAAAATTCACCTTCTTCTCTCCATTCTCTTATCACTGCCCTGTTTCATGTCTTCGAGTACTTATACATACTTCCATTACAGTAATCACAGCAGTACTGCACAAGAATAATAGCAGTGAACTGAATAAACGGTGCTGATAGCCCAGTCAGTGTGGCAAGTGCTTTAGGTGTATTAGTTAGTACATTAGTGCACTCTTACTCCTGCTCTATAAAGGCAATTCTTCATTCCTTCTTTTACATACATGGAAAGGTGAAATTACTTGCCAAGATCACAGTTCCTGGGACCATGATTATAGGGTCCAACTGTGTGCTTTGCAATCCTTTGTTAGGCTACCTAACATAGTTTTCTGTATATCCTTCCTCAACAGACAGGAGCTGTATCTTATACATCCTAAGGAGTTACACAATTAGTAACAAGCCGGTGCTGATAAATTCAAAATAGAGGAATTTGTTTTTCTTATGCATAAACAGAGGGGCCTTTCTACTCTCCTATTTCTCTGCAACCATTCATGAAGGGGCTCTCTGCAGACATCCTATTGCTTAGGTTCTTGGAAATATTATACACACTTTATAATTTTAGAAATTCTCTTTTATGCCCATGCTGATCTTAGAGAAGGTGGAGGTTGCCAACCTGGAAACCACAAGAAAAATTCATTCCTTGTTTTTCTTCTTACTCTATTCACTACCAAAAAGTCAGTGCCTAAGGATGAATATTACATACAACTTAAGAGATCCTTCACTAGGAGGGAAAAAAATTTTTTTAACATGTGGCTTCAGTGACAAATGTCAATGCAAACACAAGAACAGCAAACCAAAGAGGAGTTGTCCTCAAACATGTGAGTTCTGGAGATGCTCACTTAATGAGGTGGCCTGTGTAGTGCTTACAGCAGCAGTCATTGATGAGGTCACAGTCCTGCCTGAAACACATGAAAATGCACAGTCACTGTAACGGTAGACATCTGCTACATCACTTTCATTCTCTAAAGGTCAACAAGAAGTCAGGCTCTGATTGTCACCTGATCATTTACATATACCCTCTGCATCAATGACATTTCCCAGCCAAATTTTTTCAAGTTAGAAATCTTGGCATAAATATTCCAATAATTACTACACACTTATACAATGGGTTCTTTTTCTTTTCTTTCTTTTTCAGTGCTGAGGGATGAACCCAGGGCCTTGCACATGCTAGGCAAGTACTCTACCACTGGCTATACCCCTAGCAGGTACACTGGATACTGTAAGAAGTTTCCAGCAGAGATTGGTGGCTCACTCCCCTAATCCTACCTACTCAGGAGACCGAGATTGGTAGGATCAAGGTTCAAGGTTAGGCCAGGCAAAAAGTTCGCAAAACTCCATCTCAACCAATAAAAGTTGGGTGTTTACCAACACATATGTGTCATTTCAGCTATGCAGGAAACCATAAATAGGAGGATTGAGGTCCCAGTCAGCCCAGGTAAAAACACGAGACCCTATCAAAAAATAACTAAAACAAAAAAGGCTTGGGGCATGGCTCAAGTGGTACAGTACCCGTCTAGCAAAAGCAAGGCCCTCTGTTCAAACACTAGTACTACCAAAAAAAAATAAAAAAAACTCTCTCTCCAGAAAAAAGCATTTCATAGTTTTTATCTTCACATAAACTTTTGTTCCATTCAGATTTCCTGTGAGTTCCTAAATGCAATACTTGGTAGAGAGAGGGCTGTTTACAAAGTACGCTTTCTCATCTCTAACAAAGACAGTCTTCAAAATACGAGAATAGTGATGGACTACGATTATCTCCTATATAAACAGAACCTACTTCAACAAATGATGGTATTCAAAAGTTGGATAAAAAAATATTAAAATATTGTAAATGCTTACCTTCTAAATGCAATAAATTGTGATGTTTTTGCACTTTTAAAGTCATTTTCTTGCAATAAAGCTCTAACTGCAGAATATAAATCTGAAGAGAAAAAACACAGGAAAAACTAAATTATAAAAATGTTTCTATAGAGGAATTAACTCAGAATTCCTACTGAGGCCTGGGGAAAGCATCTATGGAATGGAACACAAGTTCACCAAGGAAACACCCACCTCATTCCCTCCATCAGGCAGAGCAACAGGGGAGAAATGGAGAGAAGACTTTCAGACATCCCATCCTCAACAGAGAGGTCAACACTGGCCAGGGCAGCTCCCCATTTGTAATGAGCTAAGTGAATAGTCACTGCTCTAAGAAATGAAAAGAGCACAAAAGGTGTAACTGAATTACTAATGCAAAACTTTCTAAATTCCCGTGGGACTAATGGTAATGAGTTAGAACTTGAGAATCTAGATGTATCATATGTTATCTCACTTAGTATTTACAACAACTAGATGAGGTAGACTTTATTAGAAATGATATTTAGAGAGTACACACTGTTTCTGTATTAGCTGGAAAGTGGCCACTGCCCTACCATCACAATGCCCCACCCTGACCCTCAAGACCTTCCCATGGTTCAGTCACTAACATATTAACCCTGGCATCGCAGGGGCTTGTGCCTTATCAGCTATTAGGCAGTTTAACCACTTATTCTATTTATGCTATGAATGTGAAAATGAAGGCTCATGGAAGTAATTTTCCAAATGGGATAGGGTGGTTGTCCCTGGTGACATCTACTTATAACTTCTTTCATATGAGAACACTGATAAAGAGGCTACCTCTACAGTGTCTCAACAATAGCACAAAAAAGCAAGCATGTCTCATGAGAGAGAGAAGGCAACAAAAGCTAGGGAAGGAATATTGCAGGCTTTTGTGCATTTCCTAATAGCAGGTGACTCATGGGTGTTGTGGTGCCCTGATCTAGAAAGACTGTTAGTTGCTTGCTAAGTCCTTCATTTTTTTGGATAGGAACATAATCTCCAGAAAATGTCAAACCTCAGCTCACCCCCAACCAATCCCTAGCCTGCAGAAGCAGGAATTTCCAAAGATCTCCCAACACACTGTTTCATTTACACATGTAGATCGATATGTGCACTACATTTAACTGATTCTAAGATACACATTTTAGCATCTCTTAAATTCTAGCTCAGCTATAAATCCTGTCTCAGGTCTTTGTACTTTATAGTAACTCAGTTATTATTGAAAAAGTAGTATATACTTCTCTAAGGAATATGCACCCAATTTTCTTTAAAAAAAAAAAAAAAAAAGCTAACTTTCCAGAAGGTTTTAATTAAAATAGACAATCAGCTAAGTGTTGCTGCCATTCTGAAATAGACAACTTTCATTTTCTTTTAAAAGTATATTCTCATTAATGTAAAGAATGAGTATCAGAATATATCAAAATAAACTAAGATTTGAGGTAGATCTAAATGGTATAGCAAAAAAATCTAGGTACTAAACTGTCTAAATCACCTTTTGTCATTTGAAATAGTACTATACTAAATAGCTGTTCTGATAATAAACATTAGATACCATTTACAATATATTTAATTAAAACCAAACCAACACATAAAATGATATACAGTGTATAATCCAATTTATGTAAAACTAGGATAATAATACATGTTTGCATATGGATATAATCAAACCTAAAAGGATAAATACACCAAACCTTGACAATGTATGTGACATTTATATGGTGCCTCATAACATGATGTCCTCAACCTTCACAGGAGCTCCACGGACAGCACTCTGACTCCCATTCTCATGTTACTAAGTGACATGACAAGACTCATATGCTTCAGGGAGAAGACTCCCTGTCCCATTCTTTCTCAACCCTGTCACGTCACCATTCTGATACTCATAACTAGAAGCAATGCTTGTCCATTTTATCAAACAGAACCATTAAGAACTCAATGTTCCAACAGTTCAAAACTGTAACTTTTGTTTCACAAAATGTACTTAAAATATTGGCTTTTCAAATGACTCTAAAAAAAACCAAACTTCATTAAACGAAACCTGCTTTCTCCTGAATAAACTTGGTTTATTAGGGCTTTTCATTATTTTAAACAAAATCATCTACATTTATTCATTCAACAAGTATTTACTGAGTCCTTACAATATGTGAAGAGTTTCTTTCTTTGATGTTACTGGGGGCTGAACTCAGGGCCTCACCCTTGCTATAAAGGTTCTTTACCACTTCAGCCATGCTACCAGTCCTTTTTGCTTTAGCAATTTTTGAGATAGTGTCTCACTTTATGCCTGGGATGGCCTGGACCATGCCCCTTGTATTTGTGCTTCCCCATGTAGCTAGGAATGACCAGTACATGCCACCACATCCAGCCACTGATTGGGTCTTATGAACTTTTTGCCTCAAAACATACATTATCCTCCTGATCTCTGCCTCCAAAATAGCTAGGATTATAGGCTTGAGCCACCAAGCCTGGCAAGAGTTTACTTTTTCTAGCATAATCTGCTTTTGAAGATTAATAAAGTATTTTTTTTCAGCACCCCATTTTTTTTTTACTGGAAGTATTTGCCTTTACCATGAAGTTAAATTATAACTAGTAATTTAATAACTACATTACAAAACTGAAATCATTATACTTAATGCTATGTATCATTGAAGTTTACACTTACAAGAGTTATGACTATTTTTAGGTAACTGAGAACAAGTATCCTCTTCTGGGAGTCTGATCAAAATAAATGTCTTATCTTGAATTGAGATGGGCAATGAAGAATTATCAGAGACATTTAGTTCTGCATCAAAGTTTGGAAACTGGCGTCTGGAAATTCTGAATAAACATACATAAATAAAGAGCATTATCATTCACAAATGTGTCTTCATATATGATCAGGCTTAGTGTCCTTATGATTATTAATCTGTTAATAGAGAATAAATAGTGAGAAAGGACCACCCATATCTGTATGATAAACAGTAAATCAGCTTTATAATAGAACTGGAAGACCATCTAGTTAGGATACCATATTTAGCAATCAGTCCCCAAGAATCAGAAAAAAATCAGAAGAATCAGAAAAAAGAATTAAAGGAATCTGAAAAAACTTATTAGACAATGTACTATGTACCATGCTGGGGATTTGATCTACTTATCTCCAGACCACAAAAGAACCAAACAACGTTAAGTATTATCCACATTTCATGTGAGCAATATTAGGCTTAGTCGAGTCTTGTGGGTTCCCAAAGCTACAGAGGTAGAAAGCAGGGGAACTGGAAGACAAATCTGGGCCCATCCAGCTCCATATCCCTTTCTATTTAAGTTCGTTTAGACTCATCGGGGTCTTTCCATGCTTTACACAGTATGCTTCTTTCTTCTACATGTATTTTCCCAATTAAACCAAGCATACGAATCTATTTACTTGTATTCCTCCCCATTCTTCTTTCATTCTCATATTTCCCCACACAAGAAAACACAGTGAAGTAGAGAAGCCTTGTGCTAACACAGCTCTCCTGAGTTACCTGGAAGAACAGTGACTGCTCTCTGAACATACCGCACAGCAGTCTGGCTGTCAGAGGTGGGAGTGCCCTTCTGTGCTACCTTCAGCCTTCCCCAGACAAGTGTTCAAAGTGAGGGAAGGAGAAGGAATAAGCCTGTTCTTGCTTTAAATATCTGAGATGTAATTTCTGGGGACCTAGGAATCATTATGGATTTCCTGTTTTGCCTCTGACCCAGGACATGTAGCATAGCTCTATCTCTAGGAGCTTTTCCCTGGTATATCACAAGGATTCCTTCAGAGTCAGTAATATTGGGGGATGGTGATAAAGATGAAATGACAGGAGCACAGCTTGGACCAAATGATACTGAAAGAGTTACTGAGTTTCAGATAAAACTGACTTCTGAGGAATTAAACATGCTTTATATTCTCTGACACTTGGTGGACTTTAAAGTGATCAATCAGTAGAAGCAGAAAAGTTATAGGAATAGAATATTACACATCCAAATCCATTATTTTTCTTAATGTCTGATATGAATCCACATTGTCTATCCTATTCTTGTCCATTCCTCCTCTACTCCAGCATCCTGTCCAGGGTAGACAGGGGCATGTTCAAGTGTCTGCTGACAGCCAATCAAGTAAATGTTCAAATATCAAAAACAAAGGTAAATTTTGACCCAATGAATCAAACAGTTTCTTTGTATTCCAAGAATACAAATCCCATTACATTTTTGTACAGTTTTTGACATTAAAATAAATGTGATGAAGTAGTAGTAAGTGTGGTTTTCTGATATCAGGGCTATGGAGAAACCAATAATGAGCCTGCAGAGGCTCACTGCACAGGCTATGCACAAGACTAAGGGAAGAGTTCTTCTTTACTTTAAGAGGGGCAATATGCCAGGGATGCCTGCAGGATTCATTCAGGAGTGAAATACCACCTGTAATTTTTCTTGCCTTGGGCTTATCCCCCTAACAATTAGGGGAAAATTTTCCCCAATTTTCCTTCGAATGGGAGTGAACTCATTTCCAAGTCTGTTTCCCTCAAGCTTATTCCAGTCTCTAAGTTTAATACAACTTTAATTCATACAAAGTTATTCCTCCTATCTGTAGAGGATTGGTTCTGGACCCCCTACCTTCACCATCCCTCCCACACACACATACTCTTTATTGCCAAAATCCACAGATGCACAAAACCACTTATATAAAAGATGCAGTATTTGCATATTCTCCCATATACTTTAAATCATCTCTAGATTACTTGTAATACCTGATGCAATGCAAATGCTATGTAAACAGCTGTTACACTGTATTGCTTTGGGAATAATAACATGAAAAAAAGTGTGTACACGTTCAGTACAATGTAACCATTTTTTCTAAATATTTTTAATCTGTGGTTGGTTAAATCCATGGATGTGGAACCCATAATACTGTGTATGTTTTTAAAGTCAAGAAAACATATTCTTTCTTAATTTTCAATAATAATTTATACTGGAACAGTAATGAAAAACTTCAACTTTGTTTTTTAAATAGTGGGCAAAATGTATGTGCTTTCAGGATAGAATTGATTTGCTAAAAGGCATAGTAAATACATTGTACTAAATCACTATGATTCAAAAGTTAATACTTTTCCTTTTTATTACTAATATAACAGGGAAAAAATGTAAACACTTAAGTTACATACCTTGTAGCATTGTCCACAATTAGCTGAGATTCTGCCCTGTGGTTTGTCTGTAGCTCAATAGCACATTTCCTTGACTTAAGGGTATCAAAAAGATCTTTCAACATGTTACCAGGTTCAATACTGGGTAACTGTCTAATATCACCTTGAAAAAAAAAAAAAACAGCACAGTAGATTTGGGGTAAGTGAAATTCTAAAATTTAGAAATTACTTTCATTTCTCCCAGCTGCTATATAATTATAGACTTACTATAATTTAGAAAAAAGGCTCTCAAATCATTATTTAACATTCCTTAAATATTCAATAAAAATGACAATCAAATTAAATAGTGTAAGTCATAAAAATCGTGAAAACACAATAAGGTAATGAAACTTAAACTGAACTTCTTTCATATCTGTAACCACAGGCAAACCAGTAGAGGCATGTATGTAAAAAAAAAAAAAAAAAGAAAGAAAAGGAAATAGGACTGAGATACCTAGCATTTAGTAACTTATTCTATCTTGCTCATTATCTTACTGAACTTGGAAGAATCTATGGCCTTAGCTACATAAAATAAACATAAATCAAATAATCAAATAAACTAAGTGCATTTGATAACAGACAAATTTTAGCCATCTAATGACAAGATTTTGCTACACTAAAAATCTTTGATAGACAAAAAACAAACCCAAGAGGTAAAAATATATACTGAGTGGGAACAGGGAGAGTGCTTATGCCATTAATAAAATCAGCAGCTTATCAAATATCTTAAAATATCTAAAAAACACTATTCATATACAACTTGATTCTTAAATTGCAATTTTTTTTTCCATTCAATCCTATTGTCTACAGATCACTACAACCCAACAGAATTGTACTAAATCTCATCAGAACTGTAAGTACTTAAGAAGCTGGTGAGGTCTAATTTGAGTTATTAGCTTCAAATCATAAAGCAACTTTTAAGTGGTCATTAATATAATTTAGACTTTTTACTATTTCCAAATGAGCTTCATCCTGATTTACCCTAAGTCTGTGACATTTTTACTATTTTAATGGTCATAAGTAATTAGCAGTAGCCCTTACCAGATCTATTTCATTCAATCCCGCAAATATACTGGTCAAACCAAAGTCCCATCCAAGCTAACTAAAAGAGTGGTCGGATTTAAATCAGTGTAGCTTTGGTTTGGGCTCCAAGAAATAGCTTCCCACTTGTAGAAAATGGTAGCATGAAATGATGTCAACAACCTGCTAAAAACAATGTTTTGAACTAAAAATTCAAAGCCCGTCAATATTTTAACTTACCAAGGATAATAAGCTTTGCAAGTCTGGAGTGCTCACACAATAATTTTAAAACCGATTTGAAGATACCTACAGATACCAAACTCCCTTCATCCACAACCAGAACTTTAACTGAAGAAAATTTCCATGGCATATTCTTGTTCTTCAGCTTTTTTTCCCATAAATAGAAGCTGTAATTGACCTATAAGCAAAGTACAGATATCTAAAGTCAGTTTTAAATAATTTAACAGCAAGTTATTTTAAAACAAAACTCTTATAAGAATGAAAAAAAAAAACAAAAAAAGAAGAAGAAAAAAAGGGAAGGCACAAAAAGTTATAAGGATAAATGCACAGAAAAGAAATCTAAAAGTGAAACAGGATCAAACGTTTCAAAAACTTCCTTCCCAATGAGAGTGTTTTAATTTAATGAGCGTCAAACATAGCTCCATTAAAAAACAATACTTCTGCCATTGGTCTAGACCAAAGAAAGCTTCCTATTCTTTTCCATTCCCAAATAAAGTGGACTCCTGAGACATTCAAATCTTTACACCTTTCTCTTTTTCCATCTCTTTACTCCATTCTGTAAATAAAGAGCCATCTTCTCAACCTAATTATGAAAATACCACTTTTTCTTTCAAGTATTCTAAACTTTGGATCTATTCCACATTTTAAAAACTACCACCATGAACAACAATTCAACTAGCAACACTATTTATTAAAGAAGTATTACTATTATTTTTAAAATATAAGTAAGGAAAAAATTAATTGTAAAGTTACAACCAGAGAATGTTAAGTATTTTAATGTATAGAATTCCAAAAATGTTTCTACACCATAAGGATATATGTATATACAGATCTCTCAAATAGTATCACATCACATCTTTAATTTTTCTATGAAAACTAGATTCAACATGTTTATTAAAGTCCTCAAATTTCCCTTCTAAATGCATCAATCTCCTTCAACTATACCCACCATTCTTTCAGTAGCCTTGTCGTAACAATATTCCATGTGGAATTACCTCTCGTTCTTTCCTTCACTATTATTTAATATATTCAATTTGTTATTCATAAGTGCCTGATTGGCACTTTCCACTGTATTTCTAGACCTACCTATTCAATATAAGCCCTATCTGTTAGGACCGTGATCACTCCCAATAGCTTTCTAGCCAGGTTTTTGAACACCCAGGCCCAACCAGGACCTGTGTTAAATACAAGATACCCAGTTAACTTTGAACTCAAGATACACAGTAAGTGACTTTTTAGTATATGGACGTCCATGCAATATTTTGTACATACTTTAATGCTAATCCTTGGATAAATAAATGACATTTGTGCTCCTCCTGTGTTCTTGTTCTCTCTCCCAAGACTAAGCGTGGCTTAAAAAAATGTTCTTCAAAATCCAAACAAATACTCAGATACTACCAACTACTCAAGAGCTGATGCGTAAGAGTGGGGGAATGGCTCAAGTGGTAGAACATCTTCCTAGCAAGCACTAAGTCCAGAGTTCAAACCCCATTACCACAAAAAAAAAAAAGATGAAACTGAGCAATGATCCCTCTTTGCTCTCTTCCCTTCTCATTCTATCCTTTAGACTAATCAGACACAAATACAGATTGCCTAAAACCCTAAACTAATCAGACACAAATACAGATTGCCTAAAACCCTAAACTAATCAGAAGACTCTTCCACCAAAAAGCTATATTGACTTTCTCCAGGTCTTCATTCATTCATGTGAAAAAGGTAACAGCAAAGTAATTTTTTAGGTGACTGCTGGCTCTGTGATGCTATGTAGTCGTCTATAAAACTGCTTCCTTTATTTCATTCTCTTGCTTAGGAACCTAAACAGCTCCCTAGTAAATCAAGTTCAAGGTAGACTGTCAGGCATGCAAAATGTATAAATGAGGAAGTTATGGCACAGCAACAATCTGGCAGGTCAAAAATCTCAATTCAAATCTTAGTTCTGAAACTAACTAAGCTCTTGAGCAAGTTGTTAGATGCAGTCAAACTGGCTCTTCTATAAAAGGGAATATAACTTGACCTACCCCTTCACTGGTTTATCAAGGATTTAGTAAGATAATATCAAAATACATTACTAAATCTAAAGCTTGAATTATTTGTCTAAACAAAATTTAATTTCTACTATTTTATAATACAGACTTCGTTCTAATCATCCCTTCTACATACTATGGTCATTCTCCCCAATGCCTTTGAAAAGGCTTTTCCCCTAAATAAACTGCCTTTCTCACCTGAGCCTCCATGTCCTGCAGAGCTCTTCTTTGGAAATCTTCCAACTACCTAGTCCTTTTATGGATAAAATGGCAGGCCAGGGCTAGAAGACACTCTGCAACTTTTTACAAGTTTAAACTCCAAGTCTCTCAGTTACTTTTAAGTTAATTTTAAGTATATTCCGTTAATTTTAAGTATATTAATTCATTTGAAATTTTTAGTATGTGATTATCTGCCATGCACTGTTCTAGGTGGAAGAGATGAAAAACTATACCACATGATCGAAGTCCTCACCTCCGTGGACCTTTCATTCCATATAATATATATCTTTTCCTTCCATCTCCAGTGATACTCAGAATATGCTCTGTGAGCTATGACATGTTTGTAAGCAATCCCTATGAGAAAAAGACATTGTGCCAGATCTAAACTAATCATATCATTAATCATACACTTTAGTTCAGCTGACACTTTTTCATAAGACTTTCTCAATGAAGGAAGCAGTGCACTGATTTCTTTTTGGCACAAGTTCCAATCTCACTTCAAACCAGTAGGTATACAGACAGGCTCTTTTGAATAATGCTGATCTATTACAGGGCAGAGACCCAAGAGATATTCAATAAATACGGTAATTCCCTGCTAACCAGGGAGGATATGTTCCAAGACATATGCCTGACATCACCGATAGTACTGTGATGCTGTGGCAGTCAATCTGTAACTGAGACAGCTACCAAGTGACTAACAGGCAAGTAGCGTATATACCACGGATACCTGACAAAGGGATGGTGGGTGTCCCAACTGATACAGAGTAGGATGGCACAAAATTTTACCACACTATTCAGAACAGTGTGTAACTTAATACTTATAAGCTGTTTATTTACAAACTTTTCCATTTAATGTTTTGGAACTCAGTTGAATGCAGGTAACTGTAAAACTACAAAAAAGCAAAAGTATAGCCAGAAACAGAAGAACACATCTGTAATCCCAGCTACTCAGGAGGCTGAGGCAAGAGGATAGCAATTCCAAGGTTAGCCTGGGCTACAAAGCTAGAGGAAGGGAAGAGAAGGTGAAGGGTAAGGAAATAGAGGGGAGGAAAGGGGAGGGAAGAGAGAAAGAAAAGAACATAAAAGTATGTAAGGGGGGAATACTATACCTGATAACTACTAATAAGGAAAGAGTAAGTTTCTTTAAGGCAAATGTTTTATCTACAGACAAAAGGTCATAGACTTTACCTGATACAGTGTATAAGCGGGAAGACCCGTTCTCTGTCTCAGCAAGCCAGTTGCTTTCCCTGTGGGTGCTGTGAGCAAAACTTCTATAGCTTTGTCCATCTCCAATCGAGTTTGCTCGGTGAAGGCAAACCACTCTTCTGAGACATCCTGATCTTGCTCAAAGTCTTCACATGCTTTTTTTACCTCTCTTTCTTCTAGCTGTTGTATACACTTAAAAAGATGGCTAACAATAGTGGTCTTCCCACAGCCACCTTTCCCACTTATGACTGTCACAGCATTGGAGCAAATCATTTCCAAAGCAGCCACCTGATCCTGATCTAGTTCAAGTTCATTTATTTCTGCATTAATTTCATTTTCACCACTGTTCCAAATAAGGTCCTCACTGTCCTGTGGGTCCAAAATGTCCATGGAATTTTCTAGGTTTGTTTCATCAGGTTTACTGTCCTCTGATGCATCACCAGTTCTTGAATCCTCGGGTTTGGTGTTACCAATAGATGCCAGCACCTTCCTGACATTCACACGTAAATGCCAGGGGGGTCTCTTCATCAGATTACAAATTGAAGAGGCAATGCCCCTTTCAGCCTGGTAAAGGTCATAAGGAAAGACACGGTTCTTCTCATATGTCACCACGCCAATATCCTTCAGAAACTTCAGAGACTGCCAAGCATCATGAACAGACATATGCTCTGACAGGCCCAAAGTTAAGTCGGCTACTTCAACATATGTGTGCCCATGTTCTCTACATATCTGCTTCAGCTTAGAATATATGACCAATGCATTCTTCTCCAAATCAGTCATCAGCTGTAGAAGAGATGGGCACTGACAAAAAGCTGCCCAGCTTGCCTCACAGCGCAAAAGCTTCAATTCCCTGTAGGTAATCTTTAGGAAAATAAAGCTCAAGTTGGTTCATAAACATTATAAAAACACTGATGACTATTATTAGAATTAGTCAAAACTGTATTATTTGTTAATAATTTTTAAGTCCCAGAAAATAAGTATTTCAACTAAATTTTGAGGAAAAACTATGTATCTAATACAGCACTAAATTTTTAATTGACTGCCCTGTGATCTGAGATCTGAGATAATTAGAATTATACGGGATCAGAACAATACAAATATAGTTTTAAGTCGAATAATACTGCAAGGTTTATCATAAAAAATAGGAATTTCCTACCTGTCATTTTCCTAGGCCTTCTAAAGCCAATATCTCTAACGCTTTCTTATTTCTTCTAGAATTTGCCTCTGCATTTCTAAGTATTGTTTATCCTGTTCTCTGATTTAAAAAAAATTTTTTTAGATCATTATTATTAAATCCCTACTATGGAAAGTCTCTCTGTAGAAGACCTCTCTTTCACTCTTTTATATTATTATCTCTATGTATGCTTCTCCTCCCACCTTGGGAAAAATTGTAGTAGATATTTTATTAATTGGTTTTGGTTAAATCAGTGTTTATTATACTTGTATAAATAAGATTCACAGCTGAGTGATAAGATATACTATGACTGTATTAACTTTTGTACTAAACATTGCATTATCTTGAAATATAAGACTCCCTTGCTGTCTTAGCTTGTTCAGTTTTCCATGTGTCTACTAATAAATCTATCAGATTCTACAGAAGAGGCACAGAACTCCCTTCACCATGATCCATTCAGCAGGTCAAATACTAGCTCCATTATTTTCAGGGAGACATCTCTCCTGAGCCCTCTATACTTGTTATGGGCTGGACTGTGTCCCCACAAGTCATATGCGTTGGACACTAACCCTCAGTACTCAAAACGTGATTATATTTGGAGATAGAGCCTTCAAAAAGGTAACTAATGTTGATGAGATTATAACCTCATTAATGAGGTCATTAGAGTGGACCCTAATCCTATATAACTTGAGTCCATAGAAGAAAAGGATATTAGGACATAGACACAGAAAATCATATGAAGATACAAAGAAAAGAAAACCATCCACAAGCCAAGAAAAGAAGAAACCAGCCCTGTCAACACCTTAATTTCAGACTTGCAGCCTTTAGAACTATGAGAGAATAAATTTCTGTTGTTTAGTCCTCCCAGTTTGTGGTATTGGTTATAGCCAGCCACCCTAGGAAATTAATACAATACCAGAATGGAAGTTTACATGCTGAGTGCTAGGAATTCAAGCCTCCTTTTTCTACTTGGTCACAGACTGCTGCAAGCAGATTTCAATTCCCCAACTCTGTCTATTCTCTGAGAATAGAGACTGAACAAAAGACAAGACTTCCAGATAATAACATGGACGGAAGGAAAGAGGGTCCTGTTTCTTAATGAATAATCTGAGTCATCACTGAACAATCTCTGCCTTACCCCCAGCTGGTGGTCCCAAGGCTGAAACCTCCAGTTAAATATCATCAAGGTGCACTTTTATTCTCTTGCTAGGATGGGAGCAGTAGCTTATTAATGCCCACACTAGAGAATTTGGGGCTCCAAGTGGTTCTTATACAGGTTTCCACTTAGTTTAGGAGGTACAAAATGAAATAGTGTACAGCTAATTTAAATATATATATATTAAAGAAAAAACAGGAAGAACTAGAGGAAGGGAGAGAAGAAGGCTGGCCCTTGGGGTATTTACACAGCCTCAAAAACAACTGACCACAAAGCAAAATGTAAAGTCTGTTCCTCACCAGGAAGATGATGATCCCAAGCAGGAATCTCTGCTCTAAACTGGCACGGTCTGAATAAACGTTTGCTGAATTGTATTAACCTAATACAATGTACATTCCAATAGCAACATTTTAAATAATTTATTCTTAAATGTGGACAGGCATAATTTTTAGATCACTAAAGTTCTCTTCTTAATATTATATTTAGAAAGGACATTATATTTTGTGAGGGAATTTTTAAAACAAAGTGGTAAACTCTTATCTGCCTCTTCCATCTCAGAGCCCTGCATCTCTTCTCCACTGAATAAATATATAATTAAATGTTTCAGAATCTTTCAAAGCATTTTGAATTTACAGTTACACTTAGATATAAGGAACAAATTCATTATTCCTATACTTCTCAAACTGGGTGTCTGCAAACATTTTTATGAGTCCAAAAATTACCTCAGAATTTCTTAACTGTATTTTTAGTTGGAAAACTGCCTTATAATGAAGTATTATCAAGATTTAAGTGCCACATTTGGTTCCAACACCAATGAGCCTCAGAGTACCATTTTTATACTCTTGGTCTCTAATAATAAGAGAAGTGGAAAATCAAATTACATGATTTGCCATCAGAATAATGAAAATTTTTAATAGTTCATATTGGAAAATGGGAACTTGCATTACACAGCAGAATGGATTTGCCACAATCATTAGAACTATGGTTTTCAATGAGATCTATGTTAAGCTGACAACTTTGCTACAGAAAAACATTTGTCATATTAAATTATGTAATTAAATCAATAGTGATAATCTGCATGCCATACGTTTTGATATTTGGCTTTCATTTATAAATGTATTGATTTTATAGTTGCAAAAGATTACAGACATAATACATTTATGTTTACTTATAACACTCAAAGAAAAATCAACACTGGGATGCACACACATTTTCCATTGAAAGAGATTAAAAAATTGTCAAATTTGAGGGATCCCACCTTATATAATTTGTTGCTAAATGCAGAACAAATGTCTTACTTACTTTACTAAATCCCAGCTTCCATGGTTGTGTACCTAAAACCTCTTCTATCACTTCCAAAACTTTTCCAGAACCTGAGCTTATGAGCTGTCTGAAGTATCGAGGCAGAAGAACTGGAAGGAATTCCATTATTTTTGGAAAGCGTAAAGCTGTCATTACACTTATGAATGGAACTGCAGGATATCAGAAAAGAACAAATTAAAACATACAAATGAGCCTACAGCATGACTGATTTTGAGGGACTTTCTCATTTAGTACAACCAGTTTTAAGAAACCCACATCAAATTAATAAGTTTACTTTAAGCAGCAGAAAAACTGATATAACAATTATTTTTGCACTAAAATGGTTTTCATTGTTTAACATCAAACTTTGTGTTCATTAGGTGCTTAAATACTTATTAGCCTTGTGTTCCCTTTGCTTGCAATAGTCTTTTAAAATTTATTTAATGATAAATTTGAAACTAAGCACAAAATTTACACATTAACTTTTCTAATAATTTTTCCAACTGCAATTATTATTCATTTGTCCTTAACACCATTTTTTTAAATTTTTTTAACTGCCAAGTGTATCTGCTATAACTAAGAAAGGAAATACATATATGAATGTCCCAATAAAAAAACTTATCATTTTAAAATTATTTTATGTCATTCTGGATTGAAATCTTTCCAAAATGGATTACTCATAGCCATAAAGACTAACAAAACTGAACTTTTTCTTAATGATTCAAGGCATTCTATGAACACACAAGATCAGAGTGATAGAACCACAACCTTCGAGCTGGCAAGGAACGGAAAAGACCTTAAAGACCATCTCACGCTTTCCCTTCATGTTACAGATGATGAACTCCAAGAGCAGCATAAATACATTTTCACCAAACTGACTTCAAAAAGGAATAAGGTCTAGTCTCCCTTTCTGCAATGTTGAGAGGAGAAGTATTTCAGATTTTGTATTTTATCAGAATCTGGAATAGCTGCCTATACATAATACCTTGGGGATGCAATCCAAGTCTAAACATGAAATCCACTTATGTTTCATAAACATCTAGCCTGGAGATAACTTAGATAACAAAGCTTGTGGATACTGATCAGAAGGTATAACTTATGGTATCATGTCCACACTTTGGATTTTGGCCAGGTGCTAGTGGCTCACGTCTGTAATACTAGCTACTCAGGAGGCTGAGATCAGAAGGATCAAAGTTCCAAGCCAGCCCAAAAAGAAACTTCGTGAGCTCCTCTCTCAATGGAAAAAGCTGGGTGGTGGCATGAACCTGTCATCCCAGTTAGAGCATAAAATAGGAGGATGGCAGTCCAGGCCAGTCTGAGCAAAAGCCAAGAACATATCTCACTAATAACAAGAGCAAAAAGAGCTGGAGGTGTGGCTCAGCAGTAAAGTGCTCACCTAGCCAGTGCAAAGCCCTGAGTTCAAATCCCAGTACCACCAAAAATGAAAGTAAGTTTGGATTTTGAGAACATTTTCAGATTACAGACACTCATCCTATGCTGTGCTGAGATATGACAGTGATAATAGTCTAAGCACTCCAGTCATTAAGGCTCTCAATGACACTAAATCATACTTACTTTTGTTTTTCAGAATACTTATCTCATTATCTGGTAATAACTCTTCCTGTTCATTTTGTGAAGGTTTTTTTTCATCTTTCCTTTTTATTTCTTTGTAGAATGTTTTTAATGTTTCCAAAAGATTTTCAAAGTTTAGGTCTTTGTAGCTTGACATTTCATTTATCCATGCCAAAAACTTAACTCTCTGATCACCAGGGACTCCACAGTCTTTAAGAAAGAGGGAACAGATATGTTCTTGATTTGGTGGTGACATATCAGACTGCAAAAAGTATGATGGAAATCCTTGAACTTGATAGGTCTTCGATCCCACAGGCTTTACCTTAACCTTCACACGCCACCAAGGACCCGTTATTGGAAAACGTCCAAACACTTGACAATTCTCTTGAGTTTTTTCATCAGGAATTAAAACTAAAGAAATAAAAGTTAATTTAGGAGATTTACAGACCTCTTCTCTGATATTTTATCAGCCCTACCACTCTCTTTAATCTTCCCACAGTACCTATGCAGATGTCAACAAGGGTACACATCACACTTCCTTCTGCCTACATGCTTATTTGGCTCGCTCTACTACACTGTGCTCTCTACAACAGGACAATGCTGTTCCCCTTCTAAAACTAGTCAACTCCCCACTACTCTGACTTCAGCCAACACTGGCCTTTATGCAGTTTCTAAAAAATACCATGGTGCTTCCCACCACAGGGCCTTTGTCCAAGTTGTTCCTTCTCCCTTAAATGTTCTCCTTACTGGTTATTACATTTAATACACATTTCAGCTTAATTTTCACTTCTCAGGAAAGCTGTGCCTGAATCTCATGAACACTATTTAGTATTCCTTCTAAGCCCTGTAATATTACAGTTACTTCTGTGATTAAATAATGTCTAATTCCCCTGTACAATTATAATATGCAGGAAATAAAAAAAGGAAGCCTAATTCACTAAAGGCAAGCTCCCTTTCAATGGTAACTATACCCCATCATTTTATCTCTCTGCAGTATGCCAGCCCCAAATACTTGGAACAGGATAGCCAGTTGATAATACTTCAGAATGAATGGCCAAACGTTTCACAAACACTTGAAAATTTTCTTCCTACACCTGCACAGTCTACCTACATGGAGCTACTTACATGTCAATTTAAATTAAAATTAAAAAAAAAATTCAGCTCCTCGGTTGCAGTAGCTACATTTCAAGTTGTTAACAGTCACATGGTGTCAGTGGTCATTGTACTGAACAGTGGAAATACAAAATATTGCTATCCTCAGAGAGGTAGCATTCCTGGCATGGGAAACAAAGGTGGAAGGTAGAGGGTGGGACTCGGTGCAGAGCTTGGCTATGGGAAGAGACTTCCAAGGACACACAACTGGAAGCGGCAGGAAATTCCGGGGAGAGAGTGGTCAAGAGTTTAGGTTCCCTAGAATTGGAATTGTTGAATTGGTATGTTCAGCTTTAGAAGATCCTGTCTACAGCTGTACGTGGAATTTATTAAATTTATCAATCTTTTCCAGAAACGAAAATAAAAAAGTTTAGGTTCCAGCCAGGCTTGGTGCTTCCTGTCTGTAATCCCAGCTACTCAGGAGGTAGAGGATTGTACTTTAAGACCAGCCTGAGCAGCAAAAGGATTAGGGGTGTGGTTCATGTGTACAGTACTTGCCCTGCGTTCAATCCCCAGTACTGAAAAAAAAAAAAAAAAGAAAAAAGCTATCCCTTTAGCCTGGCAGCCTCAAAATCTTGATGTCTGGGAGGGAATGGGGTCTTGGTTAACTTACACAGGTGGTCCACTTGCCGAAACTCATCAGGCTGTGCATTGAAAGTGGATGTTTTATGGGTGTAACTGATGCCTTAATAAAGCTAATCTCAAATGAAAATATATATATATATATTGCTATCCTTACAGAACGTTCTACTGGACAGCACTGATCTGCACGTCAAAAGAATGTTAAACACCAGGCACAATGTTTCACACAACAGATACAACACAAAAAACCATACAAGGTTAACAACTCAAGAATACGTTCAGGGGTTCCTGGTGGTCTCCTTTCCCCTTCTCCCAAGTAGCTAAAGAATAATTGTGACTTTGATCCCAGCCCGCATAGGATAATAATAAAAGTTCTGATTCTGCGCGGGAATCTGAGCTCTCCGTCCACTATTTCCTGGACTGTAAAACTACCTCGAAGAGCTGTAAGCGTTACGTGATAAAGAGCAAGTAGTCACTGCCATTATTATCATTTATCCCGAGCAGCTAGGCCAGGGCAGGTGTTAGCAGCGACCGGGTGCCTGGCTCAGGACAGGGTCCGAACGGCAAACCCGTCTCCCGCTCGCTCACCCCGGAGCCTCCCGGGGAGGCAGCCAGCCTTGACGCCCCCGCTGCACAGCTCCTCGGCGTCGACGAACACGGAGTCCTCCTCCTCCTCCACCTCCTCCCTCCCGTAATCATCGTCCTCCTCCACCTGGTCCTTGGGCGGGAGCAGAGGTCCCACCAACTCGCGCAGTTGCTCACTCGACCCGGCCATAGTCAAAACTCGTCCGCAACTCAGCCCAAACACCTCCGGAAAACCCCTACAAGGTGCGTGACCACCGCCAGCCAATCAGCTCCGCCAGTGGAAGGCCGTCAGCTTCCGGGAACGCCCAGGCCGAGGGAGAAAAGCGCGCAGCCGAGGGATCGTGGCGGCAGCGAAGCTCCGCCCCGAGTTTCGGAGTGGGCGGGGAGAGCGAGAGAAGGGGCGGGGCTGTGGGCGGGGAGGTGGGCGGGGCGGGCGTCTGGGGACCGCGAAGGCAGCTGCTCAAACCCTGCGGCTGGAAAGCGGTAAGCAGGGCTCCTGCAGAACCACAAGCCCTCATTGTGTTCTGCCCAGAAAGGCCACGTCTACTGAACCCAAGGAACCCGGAAAAGCAAGCTCGGGCAACCCCACCCACTCCGAAAACGACTACACGCTCTTCGGGACTTCGATCACCACCTAAATCACACAACAGCAGATTCCCAATCAAGACACTTTAGCGGTCCCTGCTCTGGAGCTGCGTTTCCTAGACTATGAAAGACCAGCCGCAGAGCAACTGAATTCATATCATCAAAGCACTTACTTATTCAAGGGAGGGTCCTAGGCCCCATTCCAGATCCATTGAATTGGGAGCTAAGGCTGGGACCCAGGAGTCTGCCTTTGTTATGCGAGTCCCAGGTTATTTATTTTTTTTTTTTAGTTTTTTGTCATTCATTCACATGCGCACACATTGTTTGGGTCATTTCTCCACCCTGTCCCCCTCCCCCTCTCAGTTCTAGGCAGGTCCTGTTCTGCCCTTATCACTAATTTTGTTGAAGGAAAGACATAAGCAATAATAAGTAGACAGCGTCTTTGCTAGTTGAGTTAAGGATAGCTATACAGAGAGATTCCTACTGTTGCTTTCATGTACCCATGTGTTACGACCCATGTTGATTCAACTCTTAACTGATCTTTACATTGGTTCCTGATCCCTGATCATGATAACCTCTGTCGTCAGGTTATCCATTTTGATGCACTGCCAGGTTTGGAACCCACTGGATTCCATAGCAAAGTCCTTCTCAGTCTTTCCCCTGAGAGAACATGCTGGCCTCCCAAACTTCTTTTAGCAGGGTCACTACCTGCTTGCAGTGGGGCAAACAGTATGACTTTGCGATCCAGTGAATACACGAGGACTGAGGAAGGGAAGTTGATAGGAAAGTGGGAGGTCTGAAAAGGTATTCTGGGGCTGCAGCGCTCTTACTTGATGAGGATAGTATTTGAAAGTCATGGTACTTTTTAAGGAACACTATAAAATGCTGTATTACTGCATGGGTGCTGTTTATTACCTAATTGTCCTCTGAATAATGAACCTGAAAATAACTAAGCATACACTGTTGCTAAATCCAAAAGAACTTGATCCTGGATTCTAATACAGTATTTGGGGTTCCACATCTGTAGATTCAACCAACTGCAGGTTGAACATATTTTAATAAAAGAAATTTAACCAATACTGAACACATACATTTTTTCTTGCCATTATTCCCTAATACAGACTGACAACTATTTAAATAACATTTATGTTTTATTCGATATAAACAATGTAGAGGTAATATAAAGCGCATGAGAGGATATGTGTAGCTATCTGAAAACACTATGGCATTTATATAAGGAACTTGAGCAAGCCCGGATTTTACTATCTGAAGGGGTCCTGGGATTCCGCTCATGTCTGTACAGTAGTCCCTGACAACAGCCATCATCAAAGATTAAAGAAAAAGATTACTGGAGAAAAGACTGAAATTACTGCCCTCCCCCCCGGGTACAAATGGACAAACGTTCACCTTTGTTGCTTTAAGAAGAAAAACTTTGTTGCAGCTGACAAACTGCAGTGCTTCCAAGCACTGCAGATTGAGTCCCTTCTTGCCACACGGATGGCTACTGTTTGCATCAGGACATTGCATCTGTTTCAACAAAAGGCTAAATCCAGTGCAAATCTTCAGACTTTGTCTTACTTTCAGCCCTGGTTGATATTGAGAACTATTTTATCTTACAACACTCTGCTAGCTGGGCTTTTGCCTTGCCCTCTGCGGCTTGTCTCCTGCCCCTCTGGCCATTTATAGTCTCCTGAACACTGCTGGCCTCTGAGTATTGGTATTGTCATGGCTCCAGTGTAAGCCTACTTTTCCACCTCATAATCCTCCTCTCAGGTTATCTCACCTACTCTACAACCTCATGCTAATGACTCCTAGGCTGACCTCCAGGCCGCGCAAAGAACTGCCTATTCCATATCATTACTGGACAACCTGGTTGTATCTGCTGCCCAAATCTGTGTCACATGTGGATGCTCATACATAAGATATTCCTGTCACCAACGTCATGATTTCAGCACAAAACTGTTTACAACTCAATTGCATTTGACTAGGGAGTATGAGGATTCAGTTTGGTAAGAACCTTCCTTCTTTACCTGTTGTTTTCTCATTTTAAAAACTTAAGAACTCTGTGGTCCTAGATACTACTTTTACTAGCTAGATAAGAGAGTACTCAAACACAACTGTGCATCAGAATCACTTGAAATATTTCTGAAATGAGATTCCTTGATATCCTGAAGCTACACCTCAATAACACAAAAGAGTATAGACATACAGTTGTTTGCTTTGTAATTTTTGAGATAGCAAATAACTGGAAACAGCAGAAATACTCATCAGTAAGAGACCAATTGAATAAACTGTGGTAAGGTCCCACAATGGAGTAGTTTTCAGCTATTTAAAAAAAAAAAAGAGGATGATATCTGAACTATAGGGAGTGTTTTCCAAGAGATATTAAACAAGAAAAAGAAAAACATAGAATAATTGGTGTGGTTTCAATTTTAAATGTATATTAAAGGTCCACAACCTAAAGGCTCAGTGGCCTGCCTGTGGTGTTAATGCCAGGTAGGTGGAGGAACCTTGCGGCGGTAGGGCCTAAGAAAGGATGTAGGGCATTGGGGGTGTGTCCTTGAAGGGGATATTGGGATGCTGTCCTCTTTCTTTGCGTCCCCACCATTATGACATGAACAGCTCTGCTTCACCATGTACTCCGACCCTGCAGGCCAAAGAACAATTCTGAAACTGTGAGCCAAAATAAACCTTCCCTCCTTATAGGTTGTTGACATCAGCTATTTGTAACTGAAGTGGAAAACTGCACAGCAATGCATATAGTCCTAATTATGTATGTATTTTTTACAAAAAGCAACACAGGAAAGGTAAACCACAAATTAACCCTATGTAGGGTGCAAAACAGGAAAAGAAGACAGGAATTGAGATGTAAGTTTAACTTACATAGTTTGACTTCTAAACCATGTAAATGCTTTCCATGTCAAAAAATAGAAGAAAACAAATGTGAAGCCTAAAACTGAACACAAACACAAACAACTGAATCTATCAAAGTATAACATAATACTAAGGAATATAAGTATTTCAAGTTATTTTTAATACTTTAAATGTTTAAAGTTACTCTATCAACACTTAGTATTTTAAAACTCTGAAGAAAAAAGATCTACAAAATAATCTCAAACTTTACTCACTAGCGTCAATGTTAGTGTATATGTAATTTTGAAATCATATGGGAATAGTATAGTCCTTGTTTGGTTAAGAAAACAAAGTTTTTCAATGTACATGAAAATAAATACAAGTATAAAGAAACTAAGAAAAACGACTGCAATGTTACTGGAATAGTTATATCAGCATGAGCTTGTGATTTTTTTCATTTCTTTGTTTGTTTGGTTTTTTGGTTTTGGTTTTGGTTTTTTGGCAGTAGTGGAGTTTGAACTTAGGAAATCCACTGCTAGGAAGCACTTCTACCACTTGAGTCATGCCCCAGTCCTTTTTTTTTTTTGAGTCTCATTCTTTTGCCCCAGCTGTCTTCAGACCGCATCCTCCAACCTATACCTCCAAAGTAACTAGATTTAGATGTGTACCACCACACCTGCCATGGTTTTGAGATGGGGTTCAATGACTTTTGCCTGGACTGGCCTCAAACCATGATCCTCCTGTCTCTGCCTCCTGATAGCTGGATTTACAGGCAAGCACTAGGCCACCCAATATAATTCCTTAAAATATATTTTGTAGCTCTGTCTATGGAAAGGACCTGAAAGAATATAACTGCTAAATCTGATAGCACTACTAGCGTAAACTTGGTTTTCAAGTGCTTATCTTTTTTATGAAGGCTTCTTGAGAATAGGCTGAATTTCACCTCTAGGACAGGAAGAACAAGAACAGAATCTGAAATTCTTAGCCCAGAAAGTAAAAGAAACACTCAAAAAAAAAAAGAAAGAAAAGAAAGAAGACAACCAAAGACAACAAAAACCTAATGGAGTTATGATTTTAAAACAATTAGGAACTAGGTTGACGAGGCCTCCCAGTAACCAAATTTAGGAAATCAAAGTATCAAAAAAATAGTAACAATAAAATTGCACTATTTTT